GTACCAGTGACTGTTTTACTGTGCTCGTTTGTTTAACTGTGCTAATAACAGCCATTTTGGGCTTCCATTGTATTCCATTGCTTTTACGCGGTTTTTGGACTACGCACGTATCTTATCTTTCCGATCGCAACTGTACTCCTTTGGCACGATCTCGGTATTCTTTCGATACCACGAGATTGCCAACAAATATATACGACTACTACAATCATCTGCCTTCTGATATTTTGGCCTACCGGGATTTTATTGGTCTATTGGCAAGTAGTCTGGTAGCGGTGTTCATAGTCAAGCTCAACTCGAAACCACGCTACAATATAAACACTGTGGAAATTATTGCGTACAATGTCATTTTGTGATGATATACGAAGTGATTTGCTTGAAAATTATATATGAATGTCAGTCTTGTGAATAATAACAAAAATAATAAATCCTACATTGTGCAGTTGCGTTATTTTGCTACCAGTAGGTGGTGCAAGAGTTCTGGAGATCCTCTTCTGTGTCTCCTTTATGTTCCTGTCTAACACTCCGTTAGTAGATGAGATAACGTCTTGCTCTACATCTTCCGGTTTATATGAGGATGTAGACTATTCAGGCATTCTTAAGGGTCATTAACAGCCTCTGCATCATACTTACACCTAGACTTATATAGCGAAGGGCTGCAAATATTTCTAGCTTCCCGAAATTGAAAGTTGGTCCCGTCAGTGTTTGGTGGTCTAAGAGTCCCCCGAGTTTGTTTTCTTTCACAGAGAGGTACATTAATCCCAATACCGGGCCACGGTGGAGAGCTTCTTAGTTTTACCCTATAACTCAGGGTAAATATAAGGTAGTAGCCTCTACTTAAAAGTTATTGAAAACTTATTTAATCCTTCTTATAAAAGATTAATGTTCTGTCTTTTAATCCACAGCGGGTAGTGCCCGTATAACTACTTGTATGTTTCCTGTAAAGCCTTTTGATTTGATTTGAGCTAGCATATCATTGTTGATAACGATTTGGAAGCCGAAAATGGGTGCTGTGTAGTCACTCTTACTTTGAGGTGGATAACAATCGACATGTACAACATCGTCCTCTTAGCGGAGCAATATATGATTCGGAAACATTGATTCGAGTCGCATCAAATTGAATCTTTCGTAATTAATTAAGCCACTTAAGCAATCATGTTGGCTAGACGTTTTCGAACGTTTTCAACGAGATAGTCCTCAGAATATTCATAAGGGCAGAACACAAAACTCTGACTAAATTGTCGTTCAAAGAACTAGTCTGGGGCTCATAGCTTCTGCCCTTCTCAGCTCTGTCGAAGAAAACTGACCAGCTACAACGATCAGAGTTTGATTTCTTGGTCTCATTCGTGGAAACCTGTTTATTCATCGCACAATCGGGCAGTTGTTGTTCTTTCCATCTCTCGTCCGTTTCCTCACCTTGTTTATAATCTAGAAAGCTCTTTCAGGTTCTGATCAAACAGAAATACTTTGGTACCTTTAGACCATTTGGACGCTTCATCATGTTTTTCGAAAACCGTTCCAACACTATGCATTCGGAATGTAGATTTCGTTGATGTATGTAAAAAGTTCAGGTGCTTGAGTTTGAGGAACAAACGGGATTCGAACTAGGTTACGGCCCGTCGCAATTGTCTAGAGGAAACCAACAAATGTAATCCCGACAGAATAGTGTGCAACGGATTTAAAAGTAATATTCATTAAAACAAATGTGGATTCCATTTTCTGTGTTTCTGTTTAACCCTATTTAAAAGTCTCCACATACAAATATTTCCGGCGATTGTTTTACTTTTTCTGCTAATATATATTTTTTCTCTATTGTTGACTTTGTCCAATCTTACTTTGATGATATTTTGATTCTTTTCAATTATTAGTCAAATTATTTGATTTGCACACAGAAGTTCTACTCCATCAACACAGGGACGATAAAAAATTTATGCGACTTTGGAGTTGAAATTTGATGCGGGAAGGATTATTAAATAAACAGAATTAGTGAAGTTGTACAACAAAATATTCATGCACATGAACCATGTGGTTAACAGATAATTTTACGTGATGTAATTGTACAAGGACTTTAAAGTTATCATAAAATATCTGAAAAAAAGAGTCATACAAATTATGACTTGAATAATCTGGAATCGTACTAGGTTTCATTGGGTTGTGGTATGAGGTACATATAAAGTTCCATGTCAGTGATACTGTAGTGAAGTAAAACACCAGTGGGGACAATCCAATGTATGTAACAACCAATTATAGAACTAGTTAGTAAAATCAAACAACCATATATTGAATCGTTAATTTGCAAATTGTTCATCAATTGTCTCAAATCACTCAGAATCCCCTTGTTCTTGCATTTTCATACAAATTGCCTTTTGTCGTCATTCTTTAATGTTCGATCTTCTTATCTCTCTGCCGCCAGACATTCTGTTCAGTGCTCACGTCATATACTACTTATGTCTACATAAGTAGCACACACTACAATACTACTGGTAGTTAAGTTACATGTTATGGAGTTCAAGGAAAAGCTGATGGGGATATCTGTGCAGTTTAATACTTATGGAAAGTTGATAGGTAGTATATAATAATTAAATAACGTAGTGTTGGAACTGTAAAATGTAGGATGTGAACCATAAAGGGTATTGGGAATAAGAGTGTAATATGGTAGTTAACTAAGACGGTATAACAATACAAAAGGAACATCGTTAAGACACTGAATCATAGAATCAAGACCACGTGCTCTCTAGATACGGTTGAAGATGAAACAAAGGCATTATACACAACCCTGAAAGAAAATGGATATGCCGAGAGATTTATGGATAAAAACATAGCCAATGAATGAGAGCATAGAGAATGTCTAACTGTGAATAAAAAGCCTATATATATACGCTTACAATTCAGGGGCGATACACCGAGTGAAATGTTAACACTGAAGTTACGCAGATCAATTTAAAGGACTTTTAATGCGGATAAACTACAACTAATGTTTTCCACACGTCCAATAATCACTCCGACGTCGAACGATAAATTGCCTGGACTACCCACCTCTTTCTGTATTTATCAATTCAACTGCTATTTTGGAACAACTTATTTTGATAGGTGTTCTAGAAATTTGTACATTCGGTTTCGTGAGTACCTCTCATCGTGACTAAGCAAAGGCATAGTTAAAACAGTTAACAGCTCCATTTTGGACCATTTAATTCAGACCGGACATACAGCCAACATGGAGCAATCTTACGCAATAATTTCTCTCTCATTAAGCGAGTTCGTTCCATTTCTACATTTAATTTTGCCCCATATTCCTACATCCTCATTCACACATCCAGAGTTTCTTCGGTGTTATCGTATAGCAGACGCATATTTCCTTCAGATATCGTACTTTGTTATATGCGTGGGAAGCCGTTGATTTTAGTAAGACAGACTGATTTTATTATGCCTGAGCCATTTATCGAAACAATGGTTCAACAAGATCACAATCACTCATAATCGTTGTTTTGTGGTAATATTCCTACCTCATATCAGGCGTTCACGACGCATTTGTTAACGCACCGAGTAACTTGCCCTCTGCTTAATAAAATGGCTGTTTGGCAACGCCTTTCTAAACGTGAATTGTAAGTCCTCCTAGGTATGTCTTTCCTAAGCGAACCTTCTAAGTCCTAATGATAACATGATCTGAAGTATTCCAGAACTGGAAACAGTTAGCAATGTTGACGTAGACGTAAGTTTGCAGTCATACTCATGGAAGTAGCAAACTTCGTTCTTGATATTCATATTATGACCACTTATTACACTCGTACCCAGAAACCGCCACCCTTCATATTCGACGAAAATTTCAAATGAACGTCAGTCATATATCCACCGCAACTTAGTTTCACAGCCTACGAATCTTGCTTTCGCGGGAGCTTACGTTCATTTGATTCAGGCGGCTCTAAAACACGTCAATACATATTCGCTATTCCTTTATTTTGTTGCCCTCGTACACAATTCAAATTATTATTCAGCCCTATTTATTCTAACGATATATTACGTTGTTACACTCATAAATAATAGACTATTTATCACTTTGTTTTCATATTATTGCGAGCTATTCATGTGAATATACTATTTCATTGCCTCCGCATTCACGTTGTAAAAGTTTCTCTTTTACACGCATATAAATTTTCTCATAATCACGTGCGAACATATCCACATATGTGCACAACTATGCGATATTCACATATATTTTGAAAATGTGTATCATAGTTTCGTATCGTACGGTCAACTTCCATATATAATTATTTATTGTGTATTCTTTGAATTAGTTTTTTACCACTATGTGTTTCTGAGATATCTGACAAAAAATGAACCCGAAATATACAAAGGATTTCGTAGAGAAAAGTTATTTGTAGGCAACCACTACTCTAGCTTCATGTATTGCGAATAATAAATTTGTATACATGAATGATTTTCATCATCGGCTAACATTAACTTAATGTTGACCTTGTTAAGACCTACCGCCTCCCTAACGCTTCTGCACAATCCATTAGACACCTACCTAAGCTTAGTCTTAACACGAATCTTAGGGGTAACACCCAGAAACTGGAGATACAACACAGAATAACGCACTGTAGTCACATGTTCTACCCCACTAGAGTAGTCAAATGTTGGAATTCGCTGAGTCTGATCTAATACAAGTGGCTTCACGGGATAACTTCAAGAGAAAACCTGACATATTCGTAAGGACTAAGGACAACATATTACTATGATTTACCAACTTCTGCGTTTTCCTCTTTCATCGTTAACATGTCTGTGTTCACATTTTGGGGCTACTAGATACGGAATCCCGTTAAGCGAAGGCTTCTATTCCGTCCACAAACATTTGTACCATAAAGCAAGTATGAATTTCGCGCATAAATCAATTCATATGCTTTGATTAAATTCACTTTCAAGTAAAAAAACACTGTTCTTAAAAATTAAAACCCTTTGCTTTGTTATGTTACTAAATGTCGAAGAGCGTAAACCAATAAATTATAAGAATGCGGTCTTTATGAATCTTATGTCGGTTATTGTACTGAAGTATCTGAGTAAATACCTTTTTTGACAACAATTACTCTCTAACTTAATAATATTTTTCGCACAATTCTACTTATTTTCCTTCTCATTTCTATGATATTTTGCTACAAATACCACGTGGTAATAGTACTGTAACATATACAACACTGTCCTTCGATTTAAAAAATTATTGGTTAGTTGAGTCAATACATCTAGTTGTGCAGTAATAGTTAAAAATTATTTAGGTGAGAATTTATGTGCATCTCATGGCAGTATTCTCTCTAACAGCAATTCCAGACAACTGGTCGAGTTTCTCTTTACAGTACATATTAAGACGTCTTCATATAAAGATATCTATCTTATTATAATATTAGGATGATATATAACCAATTAAATGCTCCACGATTAATTTCTAAAGGACCTTTGAGTATGGAGTACCTTTTGTAAAAGTGTCAATTATATATAAAATAACAGAATACCTATTAGGCATGCTGCGTCACACCGAGTCCATTAAGGATAAAGTTGTTTATCTCGGATTTTAGTGCGAAAGCCTTTCATCTATTTGGATAAATAAATTTCTGGCATTATAGCTGGTGTCAGTTCATGATGAAAACCCCATATATAATTGCTAGTTAAGGCAATTGCCCTAATTTAAATTATCGCGAACTGGATAATAAAAGCACCAGTAACACTGGCTGCAGTCAGGTACTGCAATATATACGGATGTTTGGAAAGCGTACAGACTCCTACATGGGCTTGGTTATGTGCGTCGTGTCGTTATCCACAAGTAGCATTTTGTGTACTCAACAACCGAAGTGCACTTAAACAATATTGAAACTATGTAATCGAGGCTGAAAGAGTTTTTGAGACTTTATCGTGGCTCCAGATGCCGACTATTCTGTAGCCGTATGGATGATTTCCTCTACTGCCTGCATTACTATTTTAGAACCTCTGAACCCCTATCTAACCTTGACAAGTTTTCAAACCACGTATAAGGAGTGTATCCACTTTATTTCCTTGGTTTTGTATAATATACTTCTACTCTATACTGACTGTTCACTGATTGGCTATTATTTTCCAAGGTCAGTTAAGATTCGTTCAAAGATCGTCCATAAATTAGTCTCGTCCTCTATCAATCTGCGACATTACCCTTTAGTACTGCTTAGTCACTAACTGAGTTCGTGCTAAACCGGCTGCGTTATTCGTAACAATTGAGAGTAATTTTCGTATGGGTGACTCCGGATGCCTTGTTACTATGCGATTCACAAATCCCTGTTTGAAATGCTTCGTCTTAAGTGTATATTCACAGCCTCTACCACTACAATATTGATTGTCTTTATATCCTAACAAGATTTCTATTAAAGTAAACGGTTGTGGTTCATCTAAGTTTTCAAAGAACACTAAACATTTGTGAAAGTAAGCTTCAAGATCCTGAAGACGTTAATGACTTTTGGACCTACTCTAACCACTGAATATGATGCAGATCGTTACCCAGACGTAATCCCACTAGCTTTTAGATTAGAGTAGCTTTTTCTATTTACTATCAGCTTTGGTCTGGGCACCCAGACAAGATCATAATACCCATAAAAACTGGGTTAACAGTTAGTAACACATTAAGTATCACTGAGTGCTAATGGAGTGTGGCAACTGATGTACACATGTACCACGTTCTGTGTTGCGTATGAATGACCAAATCACAAATATCCTTTTGCTTCTTTAACATGAACATTAAGCTTTAACGTGCTTACTATCCTTTCTCAGAATTAAATCGTCTATTTCGTTTTTCAGTGTTTAATCATTTGTACGATAACTTAATCGTGTAATGAGATTTTTAAGTCAAGGGAAGAAGATCCAACTGACTCTCGATTGCGGACAGAAGGAAATCGGCAGCACGAGATGCCATCAATGCCATATGGTATACACAGTTGGTGATAAAGAGGACATCAAAGCTCATAAAGAGTATCACCAAATAAAATTATTTCCAACCGTCCGGGTAAGATATCAGATATTTGACATAGATAAATTACTGTGTAGTAGATAATGTCGTTTTCTCCGTTAGTTCACTATAATATGTAACTAAATAATCAAGAATGACTCACTAATCCATGCAGTAGATTAAAGGCCATATCTTTTATCAAAAGATAACACGACCTAGCTTTTCAAACCTTTGGAGATAAAAGTCTTTGCTTGTTGCCTGATAGTTATTTGGATGCCGCAATATGGGTTCTACACAATTTATTCAAATCTTATAGGCCCAAGTTAAAACAAACTAGTAGCAGTCAGATCAAATCATGGAATCAGTACTTGATATCATCGACTGTTGATCTGAACCTCATCAGAAATTACGAATTTCCCTGATGCTAATCAAAATAATGTTAAAGAATAGAAAATATAATCCGAAACCGACTGATATAGCACAATGCTGTCAAGAGGGCGAAGTTTCATGATGCGGACGAATTTTGGATTGTTAAAATAAATGGACAAAATTCTGATCGATAGATAAAATACGACTATATGACAAGGCTAAGTGATAGCTGCTCATGAGACAGAACTATAGACATGAGCCCCCAGTTGTATAAATATCAAAATGTCTGGCTGGTAGAACATGATTCGTCCGATTAATAACATGTTTATATACCGTCGACATAAAAATCGCACATTTAAATATCGTAGGTGATTGGGGAGAATTAATTTCGCAGACCACTCACTCTCCAACCAAGGCCTTTTTCCATCATATCAAATACATTCATTCTTCTTACTTTCATTTCTGAACACCTTACTGTTCTCTACCTCCCGTTCTCTAATTTTATTCATTCCTCTTGGTTGTTTCTAGTTTCTCACAAGCGTCTTAAGGAGTGATAAGTAGTGTCAATCTAAGCCTGTAAGGGCTTTTCTTAAAACTGAAGGAGCCTCAGATGTTAGGCGTCTTTCTGTCGACGAAGGAGCTCATTGCATATCAGTTGTTAGGTCCAAGCAACTTACTTATCATGGGGACTGATGCGTCCGAGATTCCAGCTGGATGTTAATCTCATGTGTTGCCATATTTCTATGCATTGGTTGCTACAAATTACGTCTGCGAACACAACACGAAACATCAGCCGACGAAAGTATTGAACGGACACGCTGTTATGACAAAGAGTCACTTCATTTAGTTCAATTATAATTTAACCTGATGTCCCAAAGTAATAGGCTTTTCTTTTTCCCAACATCTTGGTTTATATTTTTAGCTATTCCACCATTCACCTGCTTCGGTTTGAGCACCCGGGTAGTATCCCAGTCCTCACATAAGTCGAATGATTTAAGTGGCGCATATGTATTTGGTGCCTCCTTTTACCAATGTTTATGTGTTTAAATAAATATAACCATTCCACCATTCAGCAGGTAATCAAAGATCAGTGAGGGTTGGCATACGTAATTCAAATTATCAAGAAAAGCAGGTGCTATTACAATGAAGCCTATCGAAGACGTGCTCGCCATTCTGTACTATGGAGAATTCTATAATGGTTGATTTGTCACCTTGCAAAATACCTGTCCATTAACATCTTAACAACTAACTGAGCAGTCAAATGTCGGAATAAGTGGAGTGTATCGGATCCGTATGCTCCCAAACATTATGCTTATTGCAACAGAAGTGCATTTCTAACTAGTCTGACGCTTGTAACTCGACAAAGGATTTTTATTTAGTTTGATATCAAGAGTTTTTGTTTAACTTTTACTAGTTTCGCTCAGCCTCTGATTAGGAAATGTAAATATATTATCTATTCTTCATGCGTTAAGTAGAAGACCGTATCCAAAAGTGAGTTACATGAACAGATTATGACCTTCGGTTCCTTACCTACGAGTGTAGAAAATCAAAGCTGGTCTTTTATGTGGAGCATCTGTAGCTTATCTAAAGTAAATGACAGAAAATCCGTTCGTCAATCCACAATCTAAACGTAAATTGGCATGTTCCTAAAATATTAAGTTCAATAGCTAAACTCCAAGAGCTGTTATATACTAAGAATTAGTTTCCATATAGATTCGAGTACATCATCAGCACCAGTCGGTGCTTATATAGTGAATAACAAGAAAAACTTCAAGATTAAACCACCGAACTCACAAACTACATCACCATCAAAACACTTCGCTTCAGCTAAAATCCATCTCAGTATGCAGTACTGGCTGGGAAATATATTTGAAAATCCCGATAATAATTGGATCGAAACATGAGAGCCATCTGTAGCACCGTTTATTATTGGTTTAAATCGTATGATGAGTACCAGACATCTGGATTAGGAATCTTACGTCAACAGAAACTATTCGTTGGAGGTCTGAGGTAGAATAACTCACATTTTATCAGCAAAATCTTGACCATTTTCATATTTTCCTTGTTTGTCTAAGTATATCGTACACAGTTACCTTGGAAAAAGTCCAGAAACATACAGACTAGACCAAAATGATCTAAAACAATATCTAATTTCCAAAATGAACTATGTTGTTGATGGATATCATACTAAGGTCGTTGACCTTTTACTTGATCATATCTTCAAGAAATATATGACACTTATTTTTCAAGATGTTCAGTGATCAACGGAAAGCGATAGCTTAGTGTAAAATGTAATTAACTGTTGATACTAGTAGTATACAATCTAACTTTTTTGTGTGGCTTGTTTTAGCTACCAAGAGGACGCCATGAAAATATCATCACGGAAAATTTCGATGGTTCTCGAGTGACAGAACTACTCACTACTCTTCGACTTGGAAAATCATTTTACGAACGAATATCAACACTGATGAGCCTTGACCTTGGTTACGATGTACCATCAGAAAACAGTAACGTCTATCATGTTAAGTTGTCTAATACCTTACATCCCGACTGGCGTGTTTTCGTCTACGTAAAGGATCGAACACAATTAGTCGTGGGATGTTGCATTGTTGAGGAACTAACTGCAAAGAAGATATCAGAAAAGGGTTACAAACTGAACAGGCTTATTGGTGGACGGAAAAGTCTCTTATCTTGGAGTATTCAGAGTGTCGACCGAAATGACGATCAATGTGATTTAATTTCTTCGAATCCCGGCCTCTCTTGTGTAAACATTGACGGACCGATTTGTGGTATTCGGCGGATATGGGTAGAACGTAAATATCGTCGGAAGGGAATAGCCACAAGTTTATTAGATGCTGTGCTACAAAACTTAATATATGGTTTACCACTCTCTCGTACACAAGCAGCTTTTTCCGAACCAACTGCAAATGGCGCAGATTTTGCTGTATCTTACATAGGCCGAGAAGACTTCTTAATATACTGATTTTATATTTTTATAATGAAAACTAAGCGCTTGCAGTTATTTATTCTAAATTTATAGAGCAAATTATATATTCACTGTATTCAGTTATTTTAAATGAGGAAAGAGCATATGCCATTGGTAAATCGCATAATTTTCGTCGTTCACAGAATCATGATGAGCCTATTACCGTTAAACTAGTTGCACTTGACTTGCTAACTCAGTACTCTAACTTTGGTTTTACATGTTCATTTATTAGATAAACAAAACCTGGGGGACATTTTATCTATATCTTATTAAAGAATCACTTGTCAGGCACAGATTTCGTACTCAGTTCAGTCATTCCTTAGGTATGAAGGTTACACATATTATACGTCTACCCAAATTAAAGTAGAGTCGGATACAAAACCTACTAGTTGTAGGCAGGAACTGTTAATCACTAAGCCACCGCTCCATATATGTTGAAACTAAAGGTAAACAACTGATATACAAAACGAAACTACCAAAAGAACCCGAAACTCACACAATGGAGTTCTGTGTATTGTCAGAAAAATTCAGAAACTGCTTTACCATACTAACGCGTAGTCAGTGATAATTTAACGGCTATCTATCAACCATAATGTGGTAAGAACAATGTTTTATCTTGTTATAGAGAGGCAAAGATCACTTATTATTGGAGTAAGAATGTTATTAGAAGTGAGCTACTTTACATAATTGAATATCACAAAGGTGGTTTGTAGTGCTCAACTCAATCACTAGGTTCGAACCCCCGAATTTCGTTGGTAGATAGGTAGTATTACTCGCATCTGAACAAAGAATCAAGTGCATGACTCAGTCCAAAACAGGATAATTAGCTAATGTTTTAATTAGGTGGTTGGGAGGGGGTGAATTATGTGTAGGTTACTGATCTCACCAAATACACAGCGTAGGCAAAATCACAGCTGACAGTGCGTCGGAAAATTACTTATACAAAATTTAACTTAAAAAGCGGTCAGTTTGTGATGTGCGTACTATCAAGAATATCTCCTTCCGGTTTAAAATCTTTACTAGCTTTTAAATGCTCTACGAAGAAAGCCTTAAGTAGTTTATCATATTGGATAATATTTAGTCTTTCATGAGGTAAAATCCTATAGTCATCTATAGCCTTCCAATGTTTAGGAAGTTTGAACATATTTACAATATATTCTAGAGCAATAAAGCTGCTCTAGTCGACGCTGAGTTCTTCATTAGTCACATTTAATTGGCAAATAGTAAAACCTAAAACAATCCTTAGTAGTTCTATGCACTTGGTTACCTCTACAGTCAGTCAGCTACAACATAATGCCAGGCACATATATGCATCGGTTCAAGTTGCCATACCGCATTAGCACAACAAGATGAATACTGGATTCATGGTAGTTACTTCAGTGGCAGTAATCTATAACAGAAAAATTTCATATAAGGATATAGTACAGGAAGGAAGAACTGGTTGGTAGAAAAAAAGATATAAAGCAATTTTAATCTCACAGTTTAAAGGAAGACAAGGAGTGTATACACCGACGCCATTGTGATCGATTCTGAGCCATGTCACCAAGAGTCTCTAACCACTGGTTACGATAGTCACGCGGATCCCAACCAGGTAGTCTGCATCTACCAACATGGCTCAGACCAGAAGTTAATGACTTCAAGCACTGATGCCACGTTTTGGTTTGGCCGCCCCTAACTTTCTTCCAAATATCCCTAACACCGGTTAGCATTGCGCGTCGTCGTAATCGGTGTTCAGGCATACGTAGCACGTGGCCCAACCATCTCAGTCGATGAAGATTCATAACCTCATCAACTGATTTACCATCATTCCCAAATAACCTCACTATTACTTACCCGATGATCCCAGCAGACACCAGCAATATTTCTAAGGCACCTGTGGTCAAATACTAGTAACTTACGAATATCTTCTACTCTTAAAGGCCATGTTTCGCAGCCGTATAGTAGAACGGAACGAACTACCGCGCAGTATACTCGTCCCTTAATTGATAGACGGATATCTCGCCTTTGCCATAGGTGACGGCTAGACGGACAAATTGCTTGACAGTGAAAATGTTAATAATTCAAGACCCCTCGATAAACAAAGAACTTCCAGCGTATTACGCTTTAATCGACATACAGTTGCCTTTTTGACATAATTATTATTGCGTTTCTCCCCTTACTTATGTCTCAGATACTCATGATTTTATTCATAATTGCTCACGATATCACTTCATTTATTTTTGCACATCTATTACCTCTAATTACTGTGACAAAACATTTTACCTCATTCACATTATAGTTCGTTACTAACTTATTAAGTCCATTGTTATTATTCATATAGTGTAATCTAATGTTATAACCTTTAGGCTGAATTACCACGGTCATTCCTTGTTCATATATCCTCACGAAACTAATACTTCAACATAAAAAAATTTCATATACATATACTTAAAGAGAACAAGAACGAATAATGGTGCAGAATAATATGAATTCATTTTATTTCGTTAAGTTCTCATCAGCTGCTTACAACCTATAATATTTAAAATCAATGTTATTACAGATATTGACAAACTTATACATACAAGGGTGATTCGAGATGAATATGTGTATCACGATGTAGCGAATATTCCGATAAAGTTAATAAGATCATAGAAAATTAGTCTTTTAATATGATGTGGCTCTTTAAAGGAATAAAAATTTTGTTTCGGATAAATAAATTTAGAAAACGAAAGTCCCAGAACATTGAGATAGTGATTGGAACTCATGGAGTTAACAAACATTAGATGATTGTGTAATGAAGCAACTGAAAACTGATTAATGTTAATAAAGAAAGATATATATATATATATATATATATATATATATATATATATATATATATATATATATATATATATATATATATATATATATATTGGATTGTATACTTACTACTTTTACTTACGCCTGTTACTCCTCGCGAAGGAGCATAGGCCGCTCACCAGCATTCTCCATCCAACCCTGTCCTGGGCAATATTTTACAGCTCTTTCTAGTTCTTATTAATCCCTTTCATATCCGCTTCTATTTCCCGACGTAATGTGTTCTTTGGCCTTCCTCTTTCCCGCTTCCCTTCAGGATTCCAAGTTAGCGCTTGTCTCGTAATGCAGTTTGATGATTTCCTCAATGTATGTCCTATCCATTACCATCGTCTTTTCCTAATTTCCTCTTCAGCTGGAAGCTGGTTGGTTCTCTCCCACAAAAGGCTGTTGCTGATGGTATCCGACCAATGAATGTTGAGTTCCTTGCGTAGACAGCTATTGATAAATACTTGTGCCTTCTTGATGGTGGTTGTTGTAGTTCTCCAAGTTTCAGTTCCGTACAGTAGAACTGCCTTGACGTTGGTATTGAAGATTCTGACTGTGATGATATTGGTTGAAAGTTGTTTTGAGTTCCATATGTTCTTCAGTTGAAGGAATGCCGCTCTAGCTTTGCCAATCCTCGCCTTGACGTCTGCATCTGAACCTCCTTGTTTATCGACGATGCTTCCCGGGTATGTGAAGAATTCCACATCTCCCAGAGTTTCGCCATCAAGAGTGATTGGATTGCTGTTCTCCGTGTTGTGTTTGAGGACTTTGGTTTTCCCCTTGTGTATGTTGAGGCCTACTGATGCAGAGACTGCTGCTACGCTGGCTGTCTTTATCTGCATTTGTTCGTGTGTATCGGATAGGAGGGCTAGGTCATCTGCGAAGTCCAAATCGTCTAATTGGTTCTGAGCTGTCCATCGTATGCCGTGTTTTCCCTCAGATGTCGAGGTCTTCATAATCCAGTCGACCACCAGGAGAATGAGGAAGGGAGAGAGTAGACAGCCTTGTCTTACTCCGGTCCTTACTTGGAATGCCTCAGTCAGCTGTCCTGCATGTACTACTTTGCACTGTAATCCGTCGTATGAGTTCCGGATAATATTGACAATCTTCTCAGGAACTCCGTAGTGTCGAAGAATTTCTCATAACGTCCTCCTATCTACACTGTCAAATGCTTTTTCATAATCAATGAAGTTGATGCACAGTGACGAGTTCCACTCAAATGATTATTCGACGATGATCCGTGGTGTCGCAATTTGGTCTGTGCACGACCGATCTTTACGGAATCCAGCTTGTTGATCTTGAAGTTGAGCGTCTACTGCGTCATACTTCTTCTAAATGAAGACCTTCTAACTCCCATGGCAGATTTTAAATGGTTTGAGTTATTTTTCTGGTTAGTGTTTTTTTAGCGGGTTAGTTTTTTACGGGATGGGGACGCTAACCCCATGCCCAACCCTCCTCTTTTACCCGGGCTTGGGACCGGCAGTAACTCTAGGAGAGCTACAGGCGGAGTTGTATAGCTTGAAGATAAATTCGTTGGGAAGAGATCTCTTCCCTGAACTTCGTGTTTTTAGTAATACGCTTTTATAAACGTGTAGCAGAAAAACGATTTAAATTGAATTTATGAGTCCAAAAAGAAAGTCGTCATTGTTTTCCTTTGCTGTCCTCGTCTTTATGAGATTGTTATGTAAGATTCTTTCCCGTGACCTTAATTACAATTCCTAATATTCTGAGTCTTAGCTAATTTATACTTTCTAAATACTACATAAGCCATAGTATAAATCTTGGATTTCTAGAAAAAATTATGCTTTCATGCTCTTCTCGGTTTTCTCTTCTCGAATATTATACATTGAAACTGCAAATAGACAAACGTCTGATTAAATTTTAGTCCTTCCACAATTATTGTATTGTTTGCCCATGTTTACATGTTAAATAATTTTACTTAAGCATTTTCCAATATAAAGTTTGTGTACTTGTCTCGTTTTTAATGATAAGTACTATTGTTTTCAGGTTGTAAGCAGCTACGAATCCACGAAATGTTTGGGTTCATGTTATTCTGTCACGATTTTATTCTTTATACAAACAATCTAGTGAATTTAATTCACACATCACGTTTCTTATTTCTAAACTTCCTAGAGCTTCTTTTATATTTCCTAATAAGACCACCTTGAATATTTTACAATTATCATCGAAAATCCATGTGAAACTTCAATTTTTAACTTCTATATTGCAAATAACTTATTTGTTATTAATTGACAAATCTCTTTCTAATTCAACATAATGTTAATAGTTAGAAATACCTAAACTCATAGGCTGAACATCAGACAACGAGGTTTAAATTCTTACTAAGCAGCTTTTATAAACTTTCTATTAGTTGCTATGTCAGCTACGACCACTTTAAAAGTTATATGGGATTGACCTGAGCGACTACAAAAAGCCTTTTTAGGCAACTAATGAACGATGATCAATTGTAGTTACTCGACCGTGGGCATAATTCGCAATAGTAACAGCAGCTATGCGTCAAACGACTGACGAGTAACACAAAAAATGAAACAGATTCACAACAAAAGTATTTGACCCAAATAATGTTCATTTTGTGATGCTTTCATAAACAATTGACTGGTGAGCAGTAGTCACTTGTAAATGTTAACCAGATAATGTTTATAAAAGGAGAAAAAATTGATGCATAAACTTGTTCATTTTATTTTAGTCTTTTCTATTATACACACACATCATAAACTATATAACTTACAGAAAGAAAAATATATTGAGATAAGAAGTATTTACATCTTTACATAAGCGTTTGTATTTATTTCATCTTTCCGTTTTTGAGCTGTGACATAGCAAAGGCTAATTTATGTTTCTATATGAAAAATTGGGAAAAATATAACAAAAATAAAATATATTAAGTATAAAACAAAACTAATTGCGGTACATTATTCAAGTAAGCTACGGAAACCTTAGCATAACTGAGCAATTTCAGTAAACAGAAAGGTAACAAAAAAGGTGACTATTATTGAGATCACGAAGCGATCTGAGCTAGACAACCATTGGAAACCCCAAAATTATGCTTTCACTAAAGATTACGTTTAAAAAAGAATTTGCGGAGTTCTAATGAGAAATTGTGACCAGTGGAGTTCAACCGTGCTTCATTGCTTTCTTAACTACATTTTTGATTAAAACTAATATAGCTCATTAACCAACTACAAGTTGTTGAACCTTTACTACGGTAATTCCATTTATGTGGGGGTTATTAAGATTACCTAGGATTCTAGAATGACGTAGGTGGAACAGAGAAAATCCCGTAACCCATTGCTTTTAAGTTGAGTGACTCAACTACTAATCCTTTTTTGTTGGTGGGTTAGTCCTGACGACTACTTATAATGAGTACAAAACCCACTCAGTTTTTGTTAACCTTTACAAATGCTGGCGAACGTGAGATGTTTATTCTTCTAATAAAGAGTATGGTAAACAATAGCCTGTTTTTATTACTTTACGGTTGTGAAATATGGCATTTTAAAATAAAAGTTGTTGGATTAACCTATTTTAAACTAAATCAGTTAGATTTCGTCTTGCTCTGAAAGGAATATTTTACATCCATCAAGTAAGAAAGGACAGACGGTTGTACGCTGTACTTACTCTTTGACATACGAGAAAGCTTTGTCTGTACCATAGGCAAGATTTCCTGACAACTGTAGGCCTAAGAGCGGGATGCGACTGAACCTTTCTCGTTTTCAGATAGTGACATTTTTGTAAAAGAAAACATAAGAAACTAAAAACTCATCGATGCTTTTAGCCTCAGATGTCAGCTAATAATAAGCAACACAAACCTAGCCTCAATGTGAATCGGTCAAATTGCTACATTTTAATTCATCATAGAGAAAATTAGTAAAAGGAAATAAATGAGGGTGGGTTCTACAGAGAGCTGTTAAGCTCTTTATTGGGAATTAAACACACAAACGTTAAAACCTAAGCAAGTGATATAAATGTTTAAGGGGATTCAAAGATAAATAGGAGGAGGTTTAATTGATAAATTTGGGAAGTTCGAGGAATTAAACAAAAAAAGTAAACGTTTACTAAATCTGCCGTGACAATAATTTACAATTAATTAATAAAAAAGTTTGACATATGTAGGTATAATTGACTAGGGAGGCATTGAAATCAAAAAATAGATCAATTTACTACTATCCGATGTTATAAGCGACGAGTAGGACGAAGTCGTTTTTAGAAAAAACAGTGCTTAGGTTATAACCATCTGGTTCTGTTTAGAACTTGAATTATAAGGACTTACAATGACTCGCGAGGAGCAGGCTGGGTTTCGTTCTGGTCGAGGATGTATTAATTATATCTTCACCTTCCGCCCAGTGTTAGAACACCGCCATACTTATCAAAGGCCAACAATCGTAGTGTTTCTTGATATCAGGGCTGCCTTCGATTCGTTGGACAGAACTGTTCTCTGGGATTGTCTATTGAAGAAGGGTGTGCCTGAGAAGTTTATTAACATCCTAAAAGCTCTATACACAAACACCTCAAACAAAGTGAGGGCATGCAACCACCTTTCTCCGTTGTCCCACTCAAGCAGTGGGGTTAGGCAGTGTTGCCCAATCTCACCATTCCTCTTCAACTTTGCCATCGATGACATTCTGGAAACAGCTCTGACGGATGTAAGTAATGGTGGTGTGGATCTGTTGCCTGGAGAAAGACTTCTCGAACTTGAGTATGCGGATGATATTGTCTTACTGTGCGAGAATGCCCAAGCCATGCAATCCGCACTTAATCAGTTGGCAATCAGTGTCCGTAGGTATGGTATGTGCTTTGCACCTTCGAAGTTCAAAGTTCTTCTACAAGACTGGCAGGATTCTAATCCTGTACTCACTCTGGATGATGAGCAGATAGAAGTAGTCGAGAAGTTCGTGTATCTAGGTAGCTGCATAAGTGCTGGTGGTGGTGTGAGTGATGAGATCAATGCACGTATAGTGAAAGCCAGAGCGGCTTATGCCAATCTGGGCCATCTTTGGCGCCTTCGTGATGTTAGTCTGGCTGTAAAAGGTCGGATCTACAACGCGACGGTGAGAGCAGTTTTGCTCTATGCTTGTGAAACCTGGCCTCTCCGAGTTGAGGATGTTAGACGACTCTCTGTGTTCGATCATCGCTGTCTCCGAAGGATTTCTGACATTCAGTGGCAACACCATGTCAGTAATGCAGAGGTTCGGCATCGTGTGTTCGGGCACAGAGACGATAATGCAATTGGTGTCACCATCTTGAAACACCGACTTCGGTGGCTGGAAATGTTCTACTAATGTCGTCCCAGAGAATTCCTCGTCGTGCATTATTTGCCGACTCTGGGACTGGTTGGAAAAAGCGGAGAGGTGGTCAGCATATGACATGGTGTCGTGGTATGAAAGAAAGCTGCAAAGGGCTAGCTTCTGTTGGTCCTTCACGACTCCCTGGTTGGGGTCCGAAAGACGGTGTAACGCAGTGGCTAGAGACGTTATTAGATATGGCTCAGAATAGAAGCCAATGGCGATCCTGCTGTAACCTTCTTTTACTTTCTTCATAAGAAGTGGTTGTATCTTCCTTACTGAAAGATCTCTTCTGACTGTACCTTTCCGTTTCCCCCACCATTGTTCTGTCTCTCTCTCTTTTTTTTATAATTCCCCACGTTCATTACTTTTTTTTCTTTTCTCTTTTCTCCTTCTCTTCAAATTATCATTGTTTTGTGTGGCGCATATATATTTGGTGCCCGCCTTGTACCAATATTTATGTGTTCAAATAAATAAATAATAATTAATAAATACAATGACATTATCCCAACCCACGAAAATAATAAACGGAAGGATCAGTTTGAGCAAAATATGTAGACCGAATTCCCAAGCAATTAACCCAGTTTAGTCACACTTAACCATCTGAAAGTTTGCATTTGTATTGATTGAAAGACGGAACAACAATAAGAGATTATTCGGTTTTCGAAGGGATTTGTAAAGTACTTAATACTGGGATCTTCGAAATTTGAAGGTTTTTCGTGTAGCTTAGATTTTGTAAAGCCAAATCATACAACAAAACTGACTATAAGACAGAAATCGCTTTAAAGTACTGATCAATAAGACTGGTCGGAATAGATTAATCAGATGAGTGCGACATGTATACCATCAAGTTAAAATATTTCGAGCAACATCTTAGTTTTTTTAATTAAAAGAACCTATATATAATAATAAGTACCAAAGCTCAGAAAACTTCGAAAACTTATCTTTATTCATAAATCTATTATCCATAAGTATTATTTCAAAAGGTTTACACTTTCAAATCTTGCAAAGCTTTATTTTAACATACCTTTACAGCTGCTAAAATTAATTCAACATCTGAACGAATATCTTTGTCAGGTATTTGATATATAAGTCTTGGAGTAGATGGGGAGAGTGTAACTGGTTTCTTTCGAGGCTCAAGATTGGGACTAGGAAGATAATTATCATATTGATCAAAAGACTTGGTATATTCTTTTTCTGAATCTAAATTATACATGGATAGAAATATCTTAATTTAAAATAAAGTGCATCATTAGCGTACAGATGAATTATTAGAGCTGAAAAATATTTCAGATGTAGTCCTACAATTCAAGAACTTGTGTCGCAAGATAATCTTACAATATTAATACCGTGCAAGAAATGCTTTAAAATTGCAAGACATAACCTCACCACTAATCTACCTCACAAAAAAGTCGAATCTAAATTGTGCCTTTAAAAATGTGTATATTTTATAAATATGGCAAAACGAATATTATAAGGTAGGTAAAATCATGGTGTCAAGTCTTCGATCCAGCAGATGGTCTTAATCAATCAGTATTCATAGTATAACAGTCTACTCGACAATTTTTCCCCAATTTAATTACTGAGTAAACATTTTACTGACAGTATTGACAGTACTCATTTTTCTCTAGTTTAAACGCATAGTTGTGTAACTGTGATGTTTTGTGGCTTCAGCTAACAAAAAATAGCAATTTAAAACTTTTTAATCCCTTAATATATTGACAATTTGCGGTAATCCACACGATTCACCATGTTTCGTGCTATATTATAGTTCACTAGGGTCGCCACATGCCTTTCATCGGCAAATGATGATTAAATAGCCCATGATGTGCAGTAATCAAACCCTCAAATGTTTTTTGGTCAAGGATGACATTTTATAGTCTTTTTTTCATTTCTTAGACACTTTGTTTGTATGGTTAGTATTGGATTTATCTAGTGTAAGATCTAAAAGTGAAGATTCCGATTTCGCTACATCATGATACACATATTCATCAACTATAGTCCATTGGTCAATAAAACGTTACACAATAACATTGAATCGCAATTTTAATGCATTAAAAATTAAAGGATTACATAGACAATTGTGATAATCCTAAACATCTTATTCTTGAATCTGAGACACATCAAACTTCGCAGAACGTTATATTACACGAAGTGGGGAGTTAATGATGTATTTTATACCGAGTTGTCACATCCATTGTAACCCATTAACGAATGATAATAATTAATGCCATTTTCGGAAATGTTAAACTGATTTTGAAATCGGTTTGATATAGTTTGAATAGAAAAGTGTCTTAGTTATGATGTCTTATAAAACAGTTTAAGACAAAACAAAAAGATATTAAAAACACATTATCACTTTACTTCTACTACTTTGGGTTTTGTCCTGATAACTTTATCTTACTTTGCTAATGGAGTATGGTAGCTTTAACTGACCCATATATGTCCTAAATTCAACGTAACAAGCGACTGACTGACCAAGTCTTTATTAACTTATAGGAAATAATTTAAGTAAAGTAATAACTTAAATGTAAATGTATTCATCTGCAGAGTCCAAGGTAGAACCAAAAATGTTTTTCGGTTTTATTACCAGCCGTTACAAAATAATACAAACATAATCTGTATCTACGATTTAATAACATCGATGGTAATTGGCTTAATATGGATCAGGGCATTACGAAATACTTACTATATCACATGATGGCAGGATAAGAAGTACTATGAAAACAAACAAATAAATAATAACTTATTCGAAACCCAGTTTATTATTAGTGTGACAGTGAAGTAAATTGCTACCGACAGATACTATCACTTGTATAACAAACATATCCATAAACTGGTGAGAGATTGTAAACGGTGAAAAGTTATGATAATTTGGAGAGGGTTTAAGAAGAAAACTAAGTGGGATGAAGTGTGCGGTTCATTTAATACAGTTTAAGTACTTTTTGACAAATGACTAAATAATATTTCTTTCAAAATATATGTACCATAGAGTAAGTTAGATCGATACTCTCACCTTTAGAACCTTTTTTTTGGTGAGCAGCTCGTTCATACTGAAGTTTACATAAACTCTCTTGAAGACTTAATCGAATTTGTTCTTCTGCTGCTAATAATCGCTCATTAACATCACATTGAATGATTTGTAACTCGTTATCCAACTCTTTGTTAGTTATTTCCAAAGCGAATTCCATTCTATGTTTTGCCACCTTAAAAAGATTGTTTTAAGGAATACTGTCAAAACATAATGAGACACCTTTGGAAACGTAAAAAAAGTTCTTTCTATCCTTAAGCTGTGAAATATTTAAAAACGAATGTAAAAATCTTATTGAAGATAGATGATGTGACTCAGTCTTATTCCACGGGTACACAAATATAACAAATGTAAAATGTGTAAGGACATATATAGTAGTTACAATAGTTACCTTTTTGAATGATCAAATTAAATGTACAACTACATTTGGTGACCTGTTTTATTTCGAAAATACGTCTAGTACAATATAAAAATTTGGTGACTTTAAGTATTCTCTGACTAGTTTCAAAGATTACCTACACTACTACTTTAGTTAGCTCCCAATCCCAAATTAAGACAACCTACAAGCAACGAAATCCCAACCATGACACTTTCGAAACAGTGTAATTTTGGACAGACGATAGTTTTCTACTTGAAAAACGACAAAAATAATTTACACTGTTAGCGGAATATAGATTGCATTAAAGTACGTTCCGTGTAGGATTATATTGGGGCACGCTGACGGGCTATTTCTTATCTAATCAGCGCTAGTGAATACTTGGAGAAGACTCTACAATCTTCTCATGTAAAAACTATAATTGTACTGACGGTTTCCTTATTGAGATTATTACTTCCATCTACCCTTGTTACTTGAAATATAATTTCATTCCTGTCCAACCGTGTTCTGATTTGGAGGCTTTTCGAGTGAAGTAGTGTTCAAGAATACTAAGCAATAAGAGCTGGGTCGTAGTAAGAGAAATTATAACAGGGGCGACGAGGAAAAAGGGAAACACATTCAAGGTGCCGATATCAGATGACCAACTCAACCGAATACTCCAACAACAGCAAGCACAACTTGATGCACAAACGCGATTATTGGAGACTCTGACGCAGCACCTCAACATCCACTGCGCGAGTTCACACGCTATTTCAAGTACTTCATGTTTAATTGCTAGCAGCGTCCCAGAATCTAACAATGACCCCGAAAGTGGAAATATTTTCCTCATGTGGTTCGAGTGTTGGGAAGATACATTTACCGAATATATATAGCAAATTTTCATTGCGATCACCTCTATTTATGTACAGATTATGAAGAATTTAATGCAAGAGAATCAAACAATAACATAAAGTTTTGGAATACGCATAAAAGTGCTAATTGCAAAAGTCATCAAACTATGTGCCTTAGTGATGATACCGACGTTTGTGTACTTTATTCTATCAGTCGCATATAACACAAAGATATATCACGTTTGAAAAATGTAGTGAGATGAGTGAGAAAATAATCAATTTTAGAATGGAAATTGGCGATTAGATCACACAAACACGAAACCAAAACATACATTGATCTCTCGTCGGTGCAATAAGACTGCTTTTGTAGGAGGCGATAAGATTAGCGAAGGTCGATAAACTCAATTATAATATTAAAATATACTATTATAAGATGAAATATCAGTGGATAATCAAATTTTTAAATTCATTAGAGGTCATAAAACATAATACTAATTATTTTCAGAATCGAACAGAAAAGCTCTTCACTATATTTGACCAATTAGACTTTATTTGTGATGATTGTTATTATATCTTAATATAGTTTTAGGAATGATTAGTAAAGTGAAGATAACAAACCTGTAATCGAATTTTATACGTCTCTTCAACCAAGGATAAAACATGAAGAAATTCAGGTGCAGTACCCATTTTCGCTTGATTTAATTTATTCTCTACTTGCATTATACGTTCATTATATAGTGACTCTTTTGCTTGTTTGAATTCCCACTCCAACTCTGAAATCTCAGATTGCAGTTCCTTCTTTAAACACTCGATCTCTGTATCTGTGATATCTTCAGAAATATTTTCACTACGACAATCCGGTTCCTGGTAATCTTCTTCATTTAGACGATCCTCATCTATCTGGCCATCATTAACTTTAGAATCTTTCAACCCTTCATCAGCCATCACAAGGTAAAATACCTTGAAAATGTTTATTTATGACTGTTAATTGATAGTTGTGTAGAACACAAAATAACAGCTAAAATGGAAACAGCTGTTTTTACAGCTGAGGTTACCGTTCCAATAAACAATAATCCATTGACCGAAAATTCTTTTGACTGTCAATACAAAATTCGACAGATAACATCAATCAACTTTAGTCGAAAAACAGTTCTCACGAATTTATACACTAAGATTGTAGCAAATATATCAAAACGTTAGTGATAAACTAGGCTACAACAAAGAGCAATAGTAGATCCTACGTGAAATAACTCGGAATGCATTTTTTAAGTCTTGAATATTATGTTAATTTAACTTACTCCCTTTTCTTGACCTATATTCTTATCGCTCACTTATTATTAGTGACATTATATTTACCTACTTTTGAAGAATGTGACAACTTGATCTGATGCACTTTAAGTCTGAAGAATCGGTCATTATTTTAAATTTCGTTAAGTGACTGCCATCACGTAACATACCTATCTAAATTAAAACGAAGGTTGGTCGGGATAGTGAATTTGTTTATGGCGCTGGACAATAGGAGATCAAAAAAAGCAAATTTAAGGCAGTTGGGCAACGTAGGGAGATGAAAATCTATGGTAGCCAATGACCGAAGATATATATATATATGTCACCCTATCTCTCAGAATCCCAGAGCCCATGTAACCATTTGTTTGGAACCACTGTTTTCCAATTTCTCTAGGGAAATCCTCCGTATCCACCAAACCCCATTTAAACGCACGATATTCGCTTTTCATGCTGACTTCCATAAACATCCAAGCCGTGAGAAACTACAAAGAGGAACTTCTTAGCAATGGATATATACACATGAGCTTATTAGAAGATTTAGAAAGGTATAGCGAACTACCCATAACCTTGGCCATACTAGGGAACTTGGGAGTTCAGTTATCTATTTCAACACAAAATTTAGTACAAAAGGGACACCAAAATATATATGTGCATTTGTGAGCATTAAGGTCCTGAAGTTAGAGTCAATGCATCAAAGTTATTGCATGTAACTGACGCTCAGAAGTTGATTCCAGATCCTTCAGACAACTAATTATCTGCTTTCCGTCTCAGGTACTGAAGGAATAAACATCCTTATACGATGTAAGCAGCAAGAAAGTGACAAATGTCATTTTAACTCTGAAAGTATTTGAGCTAGTCATACCCACAATTACATCAATTCTTCGCTTCCCAATATTTCTCGATTTCTATTGTCCATCATTCTGTATGCCGCATCTCTTGCAAACATGTTGCCAGTATTAACGAAGTGGGTTCGTAAAATGCTGAAACACGCATCTTGAAACTGCGTTTCCATGAATCCTACCGAATGAAAAAGCGACAACAGGACGGACACTTGAAGCTAAATTTGAAGGTGAAAACGTCACGAACGAAGTTAAGGAAGAACTAACGAAGCACCCAGTCGGTCACAAATGAGGATTTATGAAGAGACAACTTGGCATGATTTTTAAACAACTGTATATACAGCAGTAATATCTGCCAACAAATTAAATTGAATCTTTATAAATAACCAGTGGGTATCAGTAGCATCTACTGGATTGATACCTGTTCATAAAGCTGTCCAGAAAGACTAGAGAGTGGTTAAAGCCGACTAGAACTCATGCGTAGCCAAACGAAAATTTAACTTATTGATTACGAATACTGGCGGGCAGAGGAAACAACAGATGGAAAGGGTAAAAGCAATAGGTAATATGGTAACTTTGAAATTACTGCTTGTTTTATCAGTCAGTCAAACCCAGATGCCCTGGTACGGCTGAGGGTGGGGAGAGTCAGCTCTCCCTCTCAAAATGCTCTCACATAACCACTTGCATACAACCATTACCTTTTCGCACCACGGGTGTTGTTTACGAAATTAAGAGGACGAAAATCGAATGTCCGGTGCTTTAACCAGACACGAAGAGTCCACCTAAGGGAGTTGGAAAACCCTGATTCCAAACCAATGGTGCATATGGGCTCCAGTATCCTGAAGGAACAAATGGAGTATGGACAAATTGTTGGTCACCGGCTACTGAGGGACGGCATCTCATAACGTTGCTTCACTGTCTTTTGGATTAGACCTTTAGGTCGAAGTCTCCAGCGTCGCCCATTAAGAAAACCACCTACTTCGGTCTGGACGCCCGGGCAGTATCACAGCCCACACACAAATCAGATGACTTGTGTGGCGCATATGTATTCTATGCTCCTTTGTACAAACACTTATATGTTCAAATAAATAAATATGACCTGGTGGGAAATGATCAGGGTAAAACACATAGCAGATGTAGTAGCAGTATTAGTAGCGATAAACGGATCTCCGTAAGTATTAAAACGAGTAACCAGAAATGGTTGGATCATTTTTATTTACAAAACAACAACACGAAACCTAAAGCCTTAGTTTGGGAAGGTCAGAATAGTTGCGACAATGGAGGTTGCTATTTTGAATTTGAGAGTAGCAAACTTTTACCCGCGACATGTATCCATACTGTTTATTTATCAGAACATCCTCCACTGAATGTTTTGTTTGTTTAAGTACTTTCTTATTCCCGATCTTTTCGACTCGGAAAAGACCTATTCACTGGAAATACATGAGCAGATATCAAGTAGATTCTCTGAATTTCCATTGTTATACAAAATCATTAATCTACATAAGAACTTTCGTCTAAATTTGAACGAATAGTTTCACAATATTTGGGCGCCGAGTTAATGTGAGACATTAAAGAGAAAAATGTATTTGTAAAATCTCAGCGAATGAGTTTACTTAAAATTCATTCGCTGAGATGTTACAAATACATTTTTCTCTTTAATGTCATTAATCTACAGGTGCATGAATCTGATTTTATAGCCGTACGTCCGCAACCCTTGAATACAACCAATCGGTTGGGCAAATGAGTCGTGAGCTATAGTTCCATTTGAGTAAATGAAGTAAATCTCAACATCGTAAATTTTGTAAAAACATATTTATACATAACTCTAGGTCAAATATCGAGCCCCATTAATGTTGTCTCTCAATTCTTTACGGGAAATTTGCTAAGCTTTTTTAAAACCTTTGCTCATTTTTACCCTAAAAAAGATGGTTTTGTGAAATTTCAAACAAAAATGTTGGGCGGCAGCCTACGCTGCATTGAGAGTAACGGGAGTAAATATTCTTATATATAAGCGGTCACAACGGTACAACACAATACGGCACAAAAAATCGTAGGACGGGTTAAAAAAGACTGATAGATACACGATGTGTACAATATGTTAACATTTCTAGCATGAATCTCATTAAAACTTAAATATTGATAAAGTAATCACAGGATCACCTAACATGTTAGTAGACTATATTTAGCTTCAAGGGTGACTAGAAATGTAATATTATGATGCTCTGATGCTGGAAATCATCGGGCATCAAACAACCTACTAATCAAAAGACCTAGGAAAATTGTTTACCTTAACATCAAATTGTGTAGAAAAGCTTTAAATATGCGGCTCATGACATACAATATCCAATATTACTTTTACGAATAGATATAAACCATGTGTTTTCTATAGCCTTTATTTTCTATATCAAAAAACTCTTTAATATCTGATACATTATTTAATGAGCTTTTCTCAGTCATACTGTTGTTTCAGTTTTAATGATTTGTAACATGTATATCAAACGAATTTTGTAAGTATAAAAGTAAAGAACGAATTTTACTTCTTACGTATAACACTTTGTGTATAAGCATATTTATGTCCGATAGCTATTGTTTTTCTGCATGAGACCCGAAATCCTGCGTTTCTCTACGGAGCAATAATATTGAATTAACTCATAAACATTTCAACGTTTCTTTTCCTGTTGGTAGTGATTTTCGACATATTCATCATATATTTATCCGAGACTGAAGGATTAATACAGTGTGACGACTCAGTGGAGTTGCATGTATTAAACATCATAAATGTGCTGCTGTTCAGTAGACTGCCCCACGTATTGGCTTTCATATGTGGAAACGTAAGCTCATGGTGTTTGAAATATTCTTTCGGAGTTGGTATTCTGTCGGACGACGTAGCATATGGGGTATACGAGCTTGTAGACAGTGTTCCTACATCGCAAGCGTATGATCAGTTAAAACGTGATTTTATTCAATGTACCTCTATCGGATTAGAAAATTTGCAGAAATTACTACATGAGTGCAAGTTAGGTAACAAACATGGTCTAAATGACCACGCTAGATGAAGCGGTTGGCCCGAACCTATAAAGTTGATGATGCTTCTGAAAAATAAATTTGGCTACAACGCCTACTAACCTTCAGAGGAACCTTTGTTCATCAAGTGAACTCATTTGTGGTTCTTACATCAGAAAAAGCTTACAACTAACGTTCATTCTATAACAATGGTAATCATTTTTTGTTAAAAATGCTATCTGTTACCGTTCTGCTTTATTCATAGCCAGTCACTTCGGTTTATGGAATTAATGTATTTTTTTCATGTTCTTGAAAACTCTGAACAGGTTCCTTACTTGGATCAGCCACATTACAAATCATCTGTTGGATCTTATTGTTCAGGAAAAATCAAATTTAATAAATTTTCATGCTGATGAGAACTGTAAGTTGTAGCTGCAAATATATACACAGAAGAAATGGCGATGTAACACTTTAGTATTGACCATGGTCTTGCTAGTCCTTACGGACTTTATATTTTTTTTAGATGACTGGCCAACTACCACTAAAATATCAAAGAACGTGTAAATGAAGTATTGCCCTTCTTAGTGACTTTTTAATACCCTTTCCTTCATCTCCCTACTTCAGGCCAAACAAACTGTTCACATTTAACATAGACTTATTTCGTAATTAATTTTGGCTGTTATCTACATGTTTCGTTAATCTTCATAATTTATACAATTACCATTCCAAACTGTAAAATTGTTGTTTAGAAAACCATAATCTTTGACCATTCCGTTTTTAAGCACCTCAAAGCATGACACATTGCTTATCGATCACAAGTACACTGCTGCACACAAATGTTTCTTGTTCTCAATCACCCGCTGTTATGTAGACATAACTGCAGTATATTTGCTAAGTCTACGCATCACAGCAATATCCTCAATGCGTGCGTGATCTGTGTGCATATCTCGGATTATAGCAACCATAGTTGGAATTACTAACTACATATAATTGTGGTTTACAAAACGGTCGAAAGACAGAACACTTAAAAAGCATTCACAGAATTATTTGCTGTTCTTAAGGTTAATTAGGAAAAGATTGATTTTCCATATTTATAGGTTATAATAACAAAATTCACGGATTCGCTCACAGGATCATTTGTGACAATGAACATTATGTTTCGGTGTTTAGTATAGATTCCATATTTAGCATTTTTTGAGCATTTTAATGTCCAGTTAGTGTGTCAGTTCTTCATATATGAGCATAACTTTAACCTAAGTATTCATTCTTATTGTTTCTAGATACGTCAATTGGTCTTTTGTGAACATTCTCCCGTAATGCATTACTGAAGAAGAAGCAAAGAAAGGCAAAAGTTGCAGCTTAAGATGAGATCCCGAGCAAGAGCCATCTCTTCACATAGCATTCACTAACTGAATCAACGGAAAATGCGAGATTTTTGACACATATCTTACACTGGATCGCAGATGCGTTACGAATTCCTAGACACTAATTTCATCCCCTGGCTTAGCTATCGTGGTGACGCGATTTATCTTGATCATTGTCTACCCGTCGCTTTTAAATTTGCGTTTCTTCTGCTGATACTCACGTAAATTGTAGCGACAGCCTTTTGTCACGGTCTATTGATATCGCCCTAATAGAGATCATTGGATCACTGCATGCATGGAATAACCTGGCTTATGTCTTACCAGAATTGCATACAAAGAGGTAGATAAACTGGATTACAGCTTTTCAACGTTTTGTAATCCTCTGATTGATCCGAAATCTTTAATATCATATGAGTGATAGTGAGGAGCCATATCCTGATAACGAATTAATACTGAGGCCACAACTTAGTGGTTGATGACTGATAGCTGCTTTTTCCTGTAGCCCGGTATCAGCCTCATTTACCCAGCAAAGAATCCAAGTTACGTGTAGATAGTCGGACATACACTACATTCTCCTGTAACACATTCAGACTCCTGTTCTTTAAATTCTAGTTTCCGATGTCACACCAAGTTTTACATTTGTTATTGATAATCGTAATAGATTGGTTATACCATTATATATAAATGTGTGTATGCTTACTAAGTAGCTGGCTCACTTCTGTTGTCTCATTCTCTGAATGATTTTCTAACGTACTCATCTCTTTGTTCCTCAAGTACGACGCACTCCAAACTGATCGCAAACCAGCTGACAAGAAAATAGCATAAATCTTTTCTGTGACCATCGATGGATCCTGATTCGTTCTGTATTCTGTTTGATGAATTTATAACTTCGTTTCGGTTTCTTGTGTATCAAATGACGTAGGTGTTCTTATTAATACAGCACTTATGCTTGTTGTTCTGTTTGATTCGAGATTGGTTAAATTCTTGTTTACCATAGATTAAATGGTAGAGACTTGACTGTGTTGAGAGCTTTAGAGTTGTGTTTATCATAAAAAGCTATTTCGCTCTATCTTATCAGGTGCCATACTACCATTGTGTTTAACGTTGGCACAAGAACCAAACAATTTTTCTTCTAACTGTGACGTTGTCTTTGTTAACGTCTAGTTTTCCATCTGTTTGTGAAGTCGCTTTAGGTTTCGCAAACTTTATTCAATGCAAGTATATCACTTTAAAGTAATAATTATTGTGCGAAAGGTATTTTCGTTTTGTGCTCAAACTTTATCAGTTGTGATCATTAAGCAATTCGTGAAATGCCATGTTCATTTCATTTTAAGTTTAGCCTTTTTTATAGAAGCTACACCTGAGTAGGCAAGGTAGGTTAGCCATCAAGGTGTTAAGTGATGCATGAATTACGAATTATTTATGTTTATGAAAGAACATCAGTAATTTTCAACAAATATCCAGGTGTTTGGAGTGGTCATGTGTCTTGGTTTAGTAGTAGGGAGCAAAATGGTTTTGCTTTAGCAGTCAATGATACTCTTACTATTTTCTCCAGGAAAGCTTCCACATATGTTCTGATTTGGACTGCTGTACACAGTAAAAATAACGGTTTACCACGTGATCCGTACGTAAATAAGAAGAGTTATTTCCTTTGTTTAGCTTGGAAACGATCTAAGATAATTTAATCAAAGTACAAATTTACTCCAAGATTAGTGTTTCTAGTGTTCGGTAACTGTTACTTCTAAGTCTTATTCTGGTACATTCTTGGAGCACTGTCGACTAATACGCTCCTAACTTACCACCCGAATAACAAGAAAACCGAGTCTCGATTGGAGTACCAGAATTCTATACTTAAATTGCAAATAATCAGCCTAAATATATTTTTCTTGTGATAATTATAACAAATTTCACAGTAAGCTTTCAATCTCTAGGTTTTCCAAGAGAAATTTTAGAAATACGAGACCGAAACTGTGAAACTGAAAATGTTCATGGTTCAGGTAAGTGATGAACAAATAAGTAAAAAGCCAAATAAATGCGTCACACTCTCAACAGAAATAATTATATAACAACTGAAAACCACTTGAGTATATTGGAGTCTTCCTGTTACAATCAACATCTCTTCGCTTGAGCGTTTAGCCATAAACTCATGTTTATACAGTTTAATGAAGCCTATAGTACCGAAAAACGATAGTAACTCGGTGCGATTCTTAAAGCATGTAGATTACATTAATGGGATTACAACTAGTTATATCACCAAATGATTGCGTTTTGAATTTGAGGGTAGTGTGCCATGTTTTCCACACAGAATGACAAGCCCATAGTTCACCGACTTGCAAATCTCATCTGACAATGTGCATCACATGGAAATTTGTTCACTGGAAGTAATATTGGTGTTCTAAGATCGTCGTAGTAGTTTTTACATAAAACGAGACGTTCCGACGTTGGAGCAGTTAGGAAGCTGGTTTGCCACTGAATTCAATCAAAATGAGAATAAACGAACCCCCAGGAGATAGCAACAATCTTGCTCTTCATGTAACATGTCTGATATGCATGAACATCTTTGGCGGATTCAGAAGCAATCAGCGAACGCAAAACATTAACATGGAATATCACCTAGGAGCGACGTCTAACTATATGTAAGTTATGTGTAAATGTTTGCTCACTAGTTTTAAGATATTCTGAATGTTGTAGGCAAACGGAAAATTTTAGTGTCGTGATTAACACAAGTGCCTCCTTTGTCAAGCAACAGTCAAGTGAGTTATGTGAACGTAATTTGTCATAACGTGCAAACGAAATCCATTGCATATTCATAAAGATTAAAGTAAGCAACATAACGCGAAATTTGCGGAAACAGGTGGAGTTGATTTTTAGGTCAAATCGAAACGGGATGCATGGCCGTGAAATTGTATTGCATCCATTCTTCTACGGGCTAAATGGTTGATGTATTCAGCATTTTTCCGGTTTCTCTGATCATCTGCTGACTAAATACTGCACATAATAGCACAGGTTTCATCAAAGATTTCTATTTAAACTCATAATCCCACTTTATTTACATATTAATCCAGTTAGTTAAAGTGTGCTATAATCAGGTTTTCGCCAAATGTTTGTGGACATTCACATAACTTAAGTGAAACCCTAAACGAGAAGAATATATCTATGCTTAACACATATTTACTTAATGAACCAAAATATCTCGGAGATGATATATATTTAACTTTTGTCAAAATTGAGGAATGGACGGTTGACATCACGCTTTTGCCGAGTCCAACGTTGTGAAAATACGAGGCGGCGATTCGTGCCAAAGGTCATGCGTCGGACTTTCGAGGTTTTAGTCATTATTGTCGTGAATTTAGTACAATTCTATTCCATTTTCGACATATATTATACATCTCCACTTACAAACGGTATGAATATCATCCCGTTGAATATTAGTGCTCCAACGACTCACGTCATTTTTATGGTTTCTGATGGGCTTCGAGCAGACAAAATATTCAGTCGGGATATGGAATACACTCCTTTTTTAAAGTAATTTGGTGACCGTTTTAAAGGTTAAACTTATTGATAGATTTACCTTCGAATCATTTGGCATCTTTATTAGTAAGGAATTTTTATCGGTATAACGACCAGGAATATATATTCCTGGCCAGTACAGGAACTGTTGGTCAAGAAGTAACCAAATGGTCTAAGAAACGAGCTAAAATGGGTGGACTGAATTATTAATTAAGGTCAATGGAGTGTAGCCTGTGAATTGACGCACGACAGTAACTAATTTTAAACACCAGCCTGTTACTTAGATTTATAACTTAGGTTAGATTCGGAAATCCTAACTAAAAGAATATTGTGACCCATATAGGCTCGAGTTACTTTTTAATGCTATAAAAGTTCTCATGTTTAGATTCGGCAAACTCATATCTATTTGCACTCACCTGCTCCAGTTTTATGGTTGCATCCGTGGATCCGTAATTTATTTATTATTTATTTTAACACATAGGTATTGGTACAAGGAGGCACCAAATACATATGTGCCACACGAATCTCAATTGATTTGTGTGAGGGCTGTGATACTGCCCGGGTGCCCAAACCGAAGCAGGTGGTTTTCTTAGGGGCCACACCCCGAGCCTTTGACCTGAACGTCTGATCCACAAGGCAGTGGAGCATCGTAAGGAGATGCAGTCCCATGGTATCCGGTGACCAACGATTGGTTCATACGCCATTTGTTCCTTCAGGATACTGGAGCCCATGTGCACCATTGGTTTGGGATCCGGTTAAAGTGCCGGACATTCGCTTTTCGTCCTCTCATTTTCGTAAATAACACCCCCGCCACGAGAAGGTAGTGAGTAAGACTTCCCTGGCAGAGGCTATATATGCGTGGCCATGTGAGAGCATTTGGAGAGGGAGAGTGGACTCTCCCCACTCTCGACCATACCAGGGCATTTGGCGGCATGGATCCGTAATATTCCGAAACGTTGCTTATCCTTTTGAAATTCGTTATCGAAATGGTTTTAAGATCCTCATATCATCAAGATTCATCGATTTGTGTATTTCGCATCCGAAAGCCACTTCTCAACTCTCTTGATTACGACGATTTTCATTTAGTTTTGGTTGAAGCAACCGCCTAATGTCAAGGGGAGTATATTGCCAAAAGTCAGTTGGTTTTTTACATTTACTTCTCACTTTCAACACAGACTGTCTACCAAGGTTGGTGAATCTTTTGGACGTTTGACTCTCAAGATGTCCGTAAATCACTATAAATTAACTTCATCATCTGTGTTTTTTTCCAAGAATCAATTCTACGTATTTATTGAAACTGCTAATCAGTTCCCACTAACGGGGTTTGTAGTATTTTATTATTATTTCTATTGGTTTATCCTGAAATAGTTTCAAGAATATATAAGCATCTTGAGAATGAAATTATAAATACCGTTATCGCGTAAACATGCAAAACCAGCTAACTACGATACTTCCTCTTTTATTTATAACAGTGGAAATCTTACCACTGCGTATATATTTGCCATACTCAAACCCTGTTCGTACGAAACCGGAACAAGCTGGAAGGTCTTCGATCACTTATTCATTCCTTTCTAAGAATTTTCATATTTTCTAGTTTTTGGTTATTTATGCAAAAGGTTCCCGCCTATACCACCTAATAAAGCTTATTGTCTCTCAACATAAATCAACTTGAAGATGTAAGTTTGATGTAACTAGAACTCAGTAAAGGCGCTTATGTATTATTCATCAGCTGCACTTATTTTATGGTCTGATGTATCGTAGAACCATCAAACTCTATGACATTGTTTCTAGAATTGAAATTTAACAAAGCATCTTGATTCTAATAGAAACACACTTAGATCTCCGTGTTCTGTAATACTACTCAGATCGCTACTCACACACTATGGGGTTACTAGTATGTTCAGATATTCACTTTAGTTACGAACACCTTTTTTTTGATATTTTGTCTATACAGAGATGTCCTCCTACACCGTGGTTTGTGGGGTGTTTCGCATACAAGAGTCCCAACTGAGTCGAGACCTGCACATGTGGCTATGTTGGGAGGATTCAACGAAGATGTGGCTTCTATAACTAAAGGTTGTTTTTCAACGTTTCTTTACTGTCTTAATTCGTGTTTGGAAATATCTGAGAATCATAAGACGTTTTTGTTAAGGAAATTAAGCGGTAAATTGTGGATTAAAATTGCCCAAAAAATCATGGTTAGTCTTGTAAATGTTTGTCCTTTCAGTTATTCTTAAACGTACGTCCTACAGAACATAGTTTATGGATGTAGTATTTTTGTTACATTGATTGATATGTTTAAGGGTTAATCGTTTACGAATGCTTGAGCTAAAGGGAGAAACAAGGTGTTGGTAAAATTTAGAAGTGAAAAACCTTCAATATTGGTAAAATGTTTGTCCTTAGTTTGTCAATATTCTTGTTTCAACCGTAGAAAACAACATACAATTTTCATAGGCCTCAGGTTTGCATACGTTATAAACACTTGTAGAGGGGAGATACGTTTAGTTTTAGTTCAGTCGTTCTTCATTGTGGTATGCTTAATTGGTAATCACTCATGAATAGCAAATTATTGTCAAGGTGCTTAAGCAAATAGATATTCGGAGGCGACAAAAACAGCCGACAGAATCCGTTTGGCTTTTTATCAAAACATACGCTTCATTTCACGATGTTAAATTTCAAAGTAAATGCAACTATTGAGTGAGGTCCACCTTAAAACACAGTTAATATTCCTAATATTTACGCAAATTAGAAAACTAAATTGTGATGAGTATACTGTCGAAATCAAAGGAAATTATCAAGTCTGTCAGAATAATCCTGTTCTCGAATTTCCTCTATAGATATCAGTTTATATTTTGAACTGCTTTTAACCTTCAGGATGGAAAACGAATCCTGTGGAATTCGATTCTGTACTAAATCGTTCTTTCCTAGCCTGGATATGGGGTTACAAAGAAGTTGTCATGTCATTTGTTCCTCCTTCTACAAATCATGTTAAAGCCACTCCTTGTCCTGATGAATTAAGTGACCTGGCTAAAACAAATCCGACTGAAATCGATCGATGGGTTGTCAATCAGTTTCTGGTATGTTTCTTTTGGATTCTTTTCCCAGGTTAAATTCTCCACATATAAGTATTCATTAATATGAAGCAATGTGTAACGGCTCTTTTGTTTATTGATTTTAGGTTAACTGTCCTATTTTTAGCGATTTTTAGCCTCATTAACCAAAATATATCAATCTTTCATGTACAATCTAATTATGGATTGCAAATTTAGGCTATTTATGGTGGATGAGAAGCTTTGGGATCAAATGACTATTTTATACTTTAATTCGTATTGGAGATTTAATAAATAAAGCATTTTGGTTTTTTTTTGATCATATGATTTGGGTAGAATATTTGGTTATACATTGACCCAAGAGTTTCATATGTTTCCAGATTATTAGAAAAACCGGGGACAGGGGATGCGTTAAACGGAGTAGTGAAATAAACAAAATTCTCGTGACCAAAAAATCTGGAGAAAACCGAATTACTGAACTTAAACTGCCCATATACCACTAGAAAGTTATAAAAAAGAAACGGTGGCAAGAAGTCCTCATCATCAGCAAGAAAGAACCAAAGTCTACATAGAATCTTTTTCTATGAAGCTTGTTTACTTGGATATTTTGGATTATATCTAATGGTCAAATAATTAGCAGACTCATTAGAAACATGAAATATATAAAGTCAAAAATACACTGGCGCATGGTGATAAAAGTAGTTATGCTCCACATTGTTGTTTTGCAGTATTACAGAATATTTTCATGATACCTTGAAATAGTATGAGATCTCATCTAGGTAGACTGATCGCTTACAGTTGACATGTCATTATTCCTCACTTAATCGTAGACAGTTTTAAGCGTACAAACGAGTATTTAGTTCTTGTGTATGTGTTTTCTCAGTTTTTATATCTGTTTCAATGTGTGTTCATGGTCGAACAGTTACAGTTTAACACTAAATTTTCGCTCATTTATTGCAAAGTATATTCAGTTTAAACAACTACAAATATTTTGTATATATTTGTAGGATTTCGTTGATTATTCGGGTGACTTTTTTGATAACCGTAATGCAACATCTAGCGACTACCGTCGAGGTCGAATGATATTCCTACACTTGGATGCAGCTGATATGGTTGGTCATTCTTTTAAACCTGATTCACATGAATACACTGAAGTTCTTCGTAATTTGGACAATGTAGTCTTTCGAGTTTATCACAAGTTAACTGAAAAGTCTCGTGGAACAGATTCACGTATTGCTTATATCTTAACTTCTGATCATGGAATGACTGAATGGGGTTAGTAGTGATGGTTTATTTTTATGATTGATCAACAAATGTAATAATATAAGTCAGACACTTTGTAGTTCGATCGTTAAGGTGGTGAAGACAGTATATAACACTGCCACAAGGATGTGTTATATATATATATATATATATATATATATATATATATATATATATATACAGTAAGAGACTAGAAGGGTCAAAGGTAGAGAGAATTCTAGAAGCGAAAGATATTTTTTAGGATAATCAAATATTCTCTATTTATGATGTAATAGATAAATGTTTCCTCCCGATTGCTACTGTTTGTGTTATATCGTTTTAAGCATCTGACAACTGATTTTAATAGTTCCTACTATCCTAACCCGTAAATCTTCCAGTTCATGATGTGGCTGTGACTATGCATCAAAGTTTTCACTGTCCAGTACTATGCTGTTTTATGACCACTTTAAAGTTCGTTTCATTCTCCTCTCACTTAGCTTGCTTTATTGCATTGCGATACAAAATGGACTTAAATATGCCTCGACACTTCAATAGGTGCTAGTTTACGGTCTCATAGACGTGGTTCTTGCTGTTTATCTAACACTCTGGAAATCTTTAAAAGTCAAAGTTACCAAGTATGGAAATAAATGTTTACTTGAACATCTCTATTTGCATGACTAACCAGTTTGTGGAAGTTGACAGCAAATACTTTAGGTTTGTTGATATTTATTGAAGAAATGTAAAATTTTTCTCAATAATAATAATATAAATTCATTAAATGCTTGTATGTATTGTCACCCTGCACGGTTCGAATATAATGAAACGCTTGTAGTTGTTACAATGTTTATTTAATTGTTGAAAATAATTATTAAGTTTTCAAGTTAATTTATAGGCGGTAAAAATTATGAACATGGTACAACAAAGTTTTAATATTTTGAGGAGTCATCAGACTTTTTAATAATTAGTGTTTAAGTTTGGTAGATCTTTTTATCATCATTCTGTATTTTATCATTTTGAATAAGACAGTGATTAATAAATATGCAATGCATAGGACCTGGCCGGTCAGTACCATAATCTAAACCACCATGTCTATTTTTGCAGGTTTGATCACTTGATAACTATCTCTTGAACTAAGATTGAGAGTTTTTCAGTTTATTTTAGCTAACATGATGGTAATCTTGATTTTACATGCCTACCTTCTATCAAACATCCAATGTGTTATTATTCCACAATTTCTTCATGGAGTCGCTAAATAACGCTAGTCATTTTTTCATTGTGAAATTTACAAGTGTATTTTGGAAGCGTTAACTAACTGATGTACACAAATATTTCATACACATCTAATATGAGCGACACGTTACTAAATAAAAAAATGACATTTTTCTTTGTGATTATTTTCATTCCACAGGAAGTCATGGGTCCGGTTCATTTCATGAAACAGTAACACCCTTGTTAATCTGGGGTTCTGGTATTGTTGGTCCAGTGGAAATAGAGACCAATGTGAATAATTCATCGGAGGGTAAAATAGACATGTATGGTTTACCACTTCATAACTATGGACGTCTTCGACGTGAAATTCAACAGGCTGATTTATGCCCATTAATGGCTAGTCTTTTGGGTGTCCCAATCCCAGTCAATTCTATAGTAGGTCAATCAAAAAGTTAATGACGTTTTACGTGCGTTCTAGTTTATAGCTTGCTGAAACATGTACGTGTAATAAGCTAAACTGTGACTTTCCTCCTTTAGATGGTTTAACGATTACATTTTTTGTGTGTCCTCCAGATGACCTTTTATTGCTAATGCTTAATTTCTAAATTTTTTATCTTTTGCTCTTAGGGTCAAGTTCCTGTTGAATTTTTGAAGATTCCTGAATATGATAAAGTGAAGTTAACAAGAGCGAACTGGCTTCAAATATATGGGCAACTTAAGGTACCTTTTTTAAGAATTTCACAAATTGTTAACATTTCTTGTGTAAATCTCATAGTATTGTTTCTTATGCTATGATGAATTCTACGAGTATTGAATCTCCCCATTAAGTCGCTTTAAACTAGTAGATTTTCAAAGTATTAACACTGCGCCATGTATCAAAGAAACGTCTTAACAAAGCAGTACTCAAAGCTTTTATTCCGTTTTGTCGAAGGCGTCTTAGAACGTGAACATAGAAACGAACATATGCCTTTACTTGTGTTACATCGATGTAACTGATGTAGAAGATACATGTTAATTTATGCACTTAGTCGACGGTAATATAAAAAAATACCTATCAATCTTTGATTACGTTAAAGAACATATTGTTTCACACAAGGTAAACAGTTTGACCGTAGTACACCTTCTTATTCTTCTACTTCAAGCACTGGACACCTATTTTAATATTTTTACTGTTGTAAAAATCACTGCCAAGTAAATATAATGAATACAGCTTTTGTAGTAATATAAGCTACTTAAATGTATGTTTTTTAAGTGTATCTCCAATTGTGATTTTTACCATCCTTTGTCCTCTTCTTTCTCTAATAATGGTTTTGTTATATTTATTTATCGTGTCTCTCTTGGAGCTCATATTTTGATACGTTTGTGCCTCATTAAATTCGAAACAGAAATATTTGCATATTTTTATGAATTATCACAGATTAAGTACGCTGAAAAAAAGAAATCTCACTTCAGTATTTTGTTCCGAGAATTCCCGTAAGTGTCTGCTTATATGTACCATTTTGTTTAGCCAGTTATATGTAAGCCTCTTTGTTTCATTAAATCAAAAATGGTAACTTTTGTTTTATTAATGCACTTTATTCATTCGCTTAACTTGGTTGGTCTGCTTTTCATCATGGATGAATGGTTTTGATAATTTCAAATGATTTTAAATGAAATCAGTGTATACGGCTGATGATTGGAAGTAGGACTCGTGTAACAATAATTTAGTGATTTAAATACTCAAATTTCAATCATCACTTTCCAGGTTCTAACTCTATAGCGGTAAAAACAAGCAGATAAACTCCTTATTCTTAAAGTGTGACATAACTGATTACACTAATTTTGTGCATCAACTCTGTACATGTTTACGCAGTTACAATGACGTTAATATCCGTTATACTCATGTTTTGTCGAGATTCTAAGCTTCGAAAATCTTGTTGTTTTTTATTTATTTTATATTACGTTTTTAAACTGTAGTTAGCATGAAAGTTCATAGTTCTGAAATATAACCTGTGATGATGTGAAGAGCTTCTGTCCTTATTACTTTACTGTTATCTGACAACAATTGAAGTCGATGAACATCCAAAGTTTATTGTTTCTAGTCAGAAATAGCCCCCGAATGCCCTGGTATGGCCGAGAGCGGGGAGGGTTCGCCCTCCCTCTCGAAATACTCTCACACGGCCACGCGTATACAGCCTCTGCCAGGGAAGTCCTACTCACTGCCTTCTCGTGGCGGGGGTGTTGTTTACGAAAATGAGAGGACGAAAAGCGAATGTCCGGCGCTATAACCGGATCCCAATTCTATGGTGCACATGGGCTCCAGTATCCTGCGGGAACAAATGGCGTATGAACCAACTTTTGGTCACCGGCTTCCATGGGACTGCATCTCCTCACGATGCTCCACTGCCTTGTGGACTAGACCTTTAGGTCAAAGGCTCGGGGTGTGGCCCCCTAAGAAAACCACCTGCTTCGGTCTGGGCACCCGGGCAGTATCCCAGCCCACTCACTAAAACTATGATGAATAATTTGCTTATGGAAAATATTCCTTTCTATCTGAATAACATTGATATAACTCGTACTATTATTATTATTATTGTTATTATTATTATTATTACTCTACCACGTCATTTATTCACCCTCTCTTATTCCTACTTTATATATGCGTTTCGACCTAGACAGCAGCTCACCTATGGTGAAAATTCAGCTTTATCTAAACGTTCCCGAGTCACTGCCTGGTTGAAAATTGTATGTTACTACCGAACATGAGTACTGAAGCAGTTTTTCTGAAACCGCGTGCACCATTCAAACTGGCTACCTTCAACGTTCGCACACTTATGCAGGTCGGACAACAGATAGGACTGGCTATGTCTTTGGAAAGTCTTAATATTGATGTGTGTTGTCTATCCGAGACCCGTATTCAAGACTCTGGTGAAGTACTACAAGTTCGCTCTCCATCTGTCACTTCAAAAAGCTTGTTTTATGTGCGTTTATCCGGGGACCCTGTGGCATCTTCGTCTGGTCTTGCTGGCGTTGGTGTCGCACTAAGCGCAAGAGCTGTGGCAGCACTAGTCGACTGGATCCTCATTAACAGTCGGTTATGTGCTGTTAGATTAGAAAGTTCCATCAAAGTGAGAAGAAATCGGCGTGAGAAACGATGTCTTTTCGTCATCTCCGCCTATGCCCAGACAGATTGCAGCCCGGATGCAATCAAGGACGAGTTCTACCATCAGCTAACTGTTCTTCTCCAGAAAGTGCGTTCGACAGATATTGTAGTACTAGCTGGAGACTTGAATGCTCAGGTCGGGCGTCTAGGCACAGAAGAGAGTCGTTTAGGTGGCCGATGGGGACTCGTTGGTCGCAGGACAGATAACGGGGAACGTCTACTGCAACTATGCACAGACCACAACCTGTTTCTGGCTAGCACTAACTTTCGGCACAGTCATCGCCGATGTGCCACCTGGCGTCCTTCTTCTGCATCTCAAGCCTGGACTCAGATTGATCACATCGCGATCAGCTACCGCTGGCGTGGTTGTGTACAAGACTGCCGCTCCTTTTGGAGTACCTATCTGGAATCTGATCATGCTCTGGTCTGCGCCAATCTTACCTTACTTTTCAGTGGACAACGAAGTGACCGCCACAAAAGGATTGATGTTAGCAAGCTGCCTACAACTTCTGTTGCTAGTAAGTACCGAACCGAGCTAGCTTCTAGGCTAGCTACCATTCCACCGAAAAGTATAGATGAGCATTGGTTGCAATTGCATTACGCCATGAAAATGGCGGGTACAGTCTGTTGTGGGTTTGCGAAACGTCCCGCTTACAAGCACTGGGTTTCTTCTGGTTCCTTACAACTGATTGAAGCCCGTCGGTCTACTCCGGGTGACCGTGAGTTTGACCACAGACGAAGGATGTTACGTAATGAAATCGGGCAAAGCTTGCGTAAGGACCGAGAAGCCTGGTGGTCGGAGCGTGCCAGTGAGTTGGAAGCAGCAGATGCATCTGGTAATTACCGGAAGCTCTTCCAACTCATCCGAGCCACTGGCAGCAAGAAGTTTGGTGTGAGCGAAACAATCTGCGAGGATGACGGAACGCCAATCACTAACATCCATCGACGTCTTGGACGATGGGCAGAATTCTTTGAAGGGCAGTTCAACTGGCCTGCTGCTCCGGCAACATCGGTCAGACTGTCCTGCCCTCCATGGCCGGTGACGACTGATCCACCAAATGAGGCGGAAGTCCGCAAGGAACTCCAACTCTTGAAACGTTACAAATCACCGGGCCCAGACGACTTACCTCCGGCTCTTTTTAAAGATGGTGGTGACTTTTTGACTAAGGGAGTGACGACGTTGTTTACAAAGATCTGGGAACTAGAGAGTGTACCAACGTCATGGAATGAGTCGATAGTTGTCCCTATCTTTAAAAAGGGTTCACGTTGTTCCTGTAACAACTATCGGGGGATAAGTCTACTTCCGATTGCGTCCAAGCTATTGGCTTCCGTCATACTTCGTAGGTTGTTCAGGACCCGAGAAGGATTGACTCGCGAGGAGCAGGCTGGGTTTCGTTCTGGTCGAGGATGTATTGATCATATCTTCACCCTCCGCCAAGTGTTAGAACACCGCCATACTTATTAAAGGCCAACAATCGTAGTGTTTCTTGATATCAGGGCTGCCTTCGATTCGTTGGACAGAACTGTTCTCTGGGATTGTCTATTGAAGAAGGGTGTGCCTGAGAAGTTTATTAACATCCTAAAAGCTCTATACACAAACACCTCAAACAAAGTGAGGGCATGCAACCACCTTTCTCCGTTGTCCCACTCAAGCAGTGGGGTTAGGCAGTGTTGCCCAATCTCACCATTCCTCTTCAACTTTGCCATCGATGACATTCTGGAAACAGCTCTGACGGATGTAAGTAATGGTGGTGTGGATCTGTTGCCTGGAGAAAGACTTCTCGAACTTGAGTATGCGGATGATATTGTCTTACTGTGCGAGAATGCCCAAGCCATGCAATCCGCACTTAATCAGTTGGCAATCAGTGTCCGTAGGTATGGTATGTGCTTTGCACCTTCGAAGTTCAAAGTTCTTCTACAAGACTGGCAGGATTCTAATCCTGTACTCACTCTGGATGATGAGCAGATAGAAGTAGTCGAGAAGTTCGTGTATCTAGGTAGCTGCATAAGTGCTGGTGGTGGTGTGAGTGATGAGATTAATGCACGTATAGTGAAAGCCAGAGCGGCTTATGCCAATCTGGGCCATCTTTGGCGCCCTCGTGATGTTAGTCTGGCTGTAAAAGGTCGGATCTACAACGCGACGGTGAGAGCAGTTTTGCTCTATGCTTGTGAAACCTGGCCTCTCCGAGTTGAGGATGTTAGACGACTCTCTGTGTTCGATCATCGTTGTCTCCGAAGGATTGCTGGCATCCAGTGGCAACACCGTGTCAGTAATGCAGAGGTTCGGCATCGAGTGTTCGGTCACAGAGACGATAATGAAATTGGTGTCACCATCTTGAAACACCGACTTCGGTGGCTTGGACATGTTCTACTAATGTCGTCCCAGAGAATTCCACGTCGTGCATTATTTGCCGACTCTGGGACTGGTTGGAAAAAGCGGAGAGGTGGTCAGTATATGACATGGTGTCGTGGTATGAAAGAAAGCTGCAAAGGGCTAGCTTCTGTTGGTCCTTCACGACTCCCTGGTTGGGGTCCGAGAGACGGTGTAACGCAGTGGCTAGAGACGTTATCAGATATGGCTAAGAATAGAAGCCAGTGGCGATCGTGCTGTAACCTCTTACTTTCTTCATAAAAAGTGTTTATATCTTCCTTAACTGAAAGATCTCTTCTGATTGTACCTTTCCGTTTCCCCCACCATTGTTCTCTCTCTCCCTTTTTTTTTTATAATTCCCCATGTTCATTACTTTTTTTCTCTTTTCTCCTTTTCTTCACATTATCATTGTTTTGTGTGGCGCATATATATTTGGTGCCCCTCTGTACCAGTATTTATGTGTTCAAATAAATAAATAAATAAATAGTCAGAAATATCCCTCAAGCAGTGAAGTGAAACCACTAAGTGTACAATGAATATATCAAGTGAAGTGTACTAGGAAATAAATCTCAGTTAATTGTTATGTACAAAATCCACATTCTCGACTTTGAAATTGATGGCCAAAGGACTTAATTATCTTAAAAAGGAATCACTTTTTTATTTTTCCTCTGAATCTTGAAAATCATATCTTCTTATTACATTTTGTGTTCGGCAAGTGAACGACCATTTTTATTTTTGATACTCTTATCATTTTTATCTTTCATAAATGGATACTGGTGCTTTGGTATGATGATCACTTCACTACAAACGGATGATAGGTCGTATATCATTCCTGTATGTCTCTATCTAGGTTTAGGATCAAAAAACACCAGTCGGATAAGTGCTACTTTCTTGTTACAGTGTTTTTTCACGGCTAATGATACTGCCCAGTTGCCGAAACAGGACTAGGTGAAGTGCGGTTCAAATCTGCGACCTACTGGTTGAAAACTAAGTGTGTTAATCACAAAGCCACTGCTACACTGAAGAGAAATCAAAGGAATAATGAATCCCGTTAAGTAGAATTAACTTCCTACATTTCTCAACTGAGATAATAGTAGGTTGTACATTAATAATCACAATAATTTATCTCTAACACTAAAGTTATCTATTCAAACTACATTCTGCCCTTAATTTGGATTGCTTTATTTCTCCACACACAGATCTTTAAAAATGTCAGATATTAATAGCATGGAAAATGTTTGTGAATCTCTCATTTCTTCCGGAAAATATCATGAAGCAGTAAGTTGATAGAAAGTTCCCAATGTATTAACATAATCCATAACTTTGTTGCTAGATTCAAGAGTACAAACACTTAACCAGTTTGGCTTTAAAAGGACTGAACTACTATCATAAATATGATAGATTGTACTTAGGGTAAGTATATTTTTGTTTTTGTTCTGTGTTTCATGGGCACTTTTCTGTAACTTGCCTTTTAATGATAAACAATTGGTTTCTATAAAGCTTTATCAGTAAATTCTGCACTGATGAACAGCTTTACGACGGGTTTTTTGAACTCCTAACTAGAAGCTACGACTTCTGGTATCAACCAAGTGGAAACTGAGATATTTACTTACGGTCAACACTGGATGATAGTCGTACTATACCACATATAAATTGCAGTTAAAAATATGACTTATGGGAAGTTGATCATTTTTTTACTCACTTCAAAACCTGAAAACCTTTTATTCGATCTTATGTTATATCATGTTTGTGGAGTCATTTATTAAGTTATAATCAACAAATTGAGTTTCTAGAACACATTATAAGGAGATCAAATAAACGAGAGGAGTAATAAGTGTTTAAATAGTAGCAATATCTTTGATATTGGAAAAGTTTAACCATTAGTTAATATGGTTCAAGAAGAAGGCATGAATTTAGAGGATACAATGTATGAGATAATATTGAAACTTAAAACCTAGCGGAAGATGAAGAGTGAGTGAATTTGCTCCACTGTGATCGATTCTAAGTAGTCAGTCAGTCACAGCGTAGATCCTGTACCTATGCACATCGATTCAAGTTTCCATACCCCTTTAGCACAGAGAGATCAAGCTGTCAGGCTAAATCTCAGTAGTAGAGGTAGTAAAAGAATCAGTGGTAATAGGGAAGATTAGGTATCGAAGATACAACTCGAAAAGCAAATATAAATTAGCGAAATAAAGACAAAAATGTTTCAAGGAATCTAGAATCTCAGGATTTTGGGGTGAGGGACGAAGTATGAATGCACCTGGGTCATTGCAAAGGATTTTGAGCCATGTCATTTAAAGTCTCGAACCATTGATTACGATAATCACGCGGATCCTAACCAGCTAGTCTGTACCTCTTAAAATGGTTCAGTCCAATTGTTAGTGACTTCATAGACCATTGGCATATCTTGGTTTAGCCGCCCTTAGATTTCTTCAAACCTGCTCACACACCACACAACAGCCGTCGATGTAGGCGGTGGTTGGGCATACGTAACACATGTCAAAACCACCTCGGTTGACGAAAATTTACTACCTCATAAATTGATTTCCCATTTTTACCTATTACTCTGTTTATAAACCAGACATTGCTTACTCCGTGGTTACCCCCAAATGCCCTGGTACGGCCGAGAGTGGGGAGAGTCCACTCTCCCTCTCCAAATGCTCTCACATGGCCATGCGTATATAGCCTCTGCCAGGGAAGTCCTACTCACTGCCTTCACGTGGCGGGGGTGTTGTTTACGAAAATGAGAGGACGAAAAGCGAATGTTCGGCGCTTTAACCGGATCCCAAACCAATGGTGCACATGGGCTCCAGTATCCTGAAGGAACAAATGGCGTATGAACCAATCGTCAGTCACCGGCTACCATGTGACTGCATCTCCTTACGATGCTCCACTGCCTTGTGGATCAGACGTTCAGGTTGGAGGCTCGTGGTGTGGCCCCTAAGAAAACCACCTGCTTCGGTTTGGGCACCCGGGCAGTATCACAGCCCTCACACAAATCAATTGAGATTCGTGTGGCGCATATGTACTTGGTGCCTCCCTGTACCCATACTTATGTGTTAAAATAAAAAAAAACAAAATGCATAAGCAATGCTTTGAAGACAGCGATGATCTAATACTAGTAACCTACGAATATCCTCTACTCTCAATTGCCGTATTTCACACCCATAAATTAGAACGGAGCGAACTACCGCAAAGTAAACTCACCCTTCGGTTGGAAGACGAATATCTTACCTTCGCCACCAGTGGCGCACGTCCGCAAAAGCCAATCAAACCTTCTGAATCCACGCCGAAAGTTCACCAGACACCAGCACATCAGTAGTGACGAGACTCCCAATATAAGTGAAGCGGTTGATCCGTTCAGCTACCTCACTCCTTATCATTATTTCAGGTGATGACGCAAGTTAATCCTGAAATTACATTCTACATTTGTAGGGAGAGAATTTCATCCCATACATATGTGCATTGTTCCTTAAAGTATCCAAACACAGCTACGTCATTTGAGTATTCTAAGTCAACAAGTGAATCTCCTGATAGAAGATCAATACCTGAAAAGTCAGATGATGAAAGTGTTATCTCTAAAAGCATGTCTGTGACAAAGTTAAATAAAAGTAGGGAAAACGGACAACCCTGAAGATCATTACTTGAAGTAACCAATTTTGATGGGAGTTCGCCATAACCTCTGAGTCGACCAGTAGTGTTTGAGTAGAGAGCCTGCAAAAGGTTGATGTACGTCTTTGGTACGTTTTTTAACGACAGACACTAGCATAGAACCTCATGGTCAACAGAGTCGAACGATGTCTTAAAGTTAAGGAATACAATGTAATAGGATGTTGAAAAGTATGTCTATGTTCCAGAAGGGAAAATATTTGGTCTATGCATCCACCTTCAGATATGAAACCAGCCTGGTTTCCTTGGATTTTCTCTTCATGAACTGTAGTTAGACGTCGAACTATTATTGAAGCTAACAGCTTATACACTATATTAGTTAAACTGATTCCTCTGTCATTGTCACAACAGGATTTTTGTCCCTTCTCATAAACTGGAACGACCAGTGGTCGAGAACAGTCTGAAATGATTACGTCCATCTTCCATATTTTAGCTAAGATCTCAGTTAATCTAGTGCTAAGACCGGACAACCATCCTTAAAAATCTCAGGGACTAGTCCATCAGGCCCTGCTGCTCGCTTTTGATTAATTATATCTTTCAACTCCAATAAGATCTAGAGGACTTGCATCAGTTTACCATTCAGGTTGCTTGGATATAGTGGGTAACTAAAATATGTCTGTAGGCCAGTTGGACTGTCCTCTAAAGTTTCCTACCCATCGGTTAAATATTCTGAATTGAGGACGATTAATAGTTCCGTCTTTTTCCTAGATAGTTACACTGACAGATGGATTTTAAATACCCGTTTCCTTGATAAGTTTGAACAGCCGTCTACTGTTACATATCGCTGCTACCTTTTCTAACTCTCTTACTTCCACTACCTACAACTGCTCACGATCATTACGTAGGCTTTTGACCAGTCTAAGTTTAAGCTATCCCCACTCCTCATCGTTTTCAGACCCAGACAGGATGAGTTTCCGAGAATCTATTAGTTCTATAGACGCCATTGAAATCCACTGATGTTTCCTAACCTTTTTGTTTAAGTTACTAATACATATCACTGCTGTTTCCACAGCTTTTTTAATATCATACCAAGCTACCTCATGTTGTAAATCACTTACGCGGTTGACTAACTCCTCTAGTTGTTCCTGAAATATATTCTTAACTTTTTCATCATTTGGTTGGACTCTAGTGGGTTTTCTCGCTGTGGCGTTTCTACGTCCAGTAAGAAGCAGACAAATACGTGATCGATCTAGAACATGATCCAAGTCTAAACATATGCTCCAAAATGAATGACAGCCTTCTGTCAAGCCCTTCCAACGATGGCTAATGACAATGTGACCTACTGGAGTCCATTAATGAGTCGATTGCGAAGGTCACCACGTAAGACGATGTTTCTCCTTACGTTTTGGAAGTCCCTATATGCCAGAGATAGATGGTTACCTGGGCAAAGTTACAACAGACGGTTGATATTATCTGTTCGCTGATCCGCAACACCTTAAGATCCGACTGAGTACCTTTCGGTTCGGTTTAGTTTATCTACTTGAACGCTGAAATCACTTGCCACAATTACTATATCAGGGCGTTTAGCTTTTTGAAGGGAGTTGGATAGCTTCTTATAAAATTGATCTTGAACTTCATCCGAGCTGCAACCAATCGAAACGTAGGTCGAGACAACAAAAAAGCAACGATGTGTATCCCTATCTTTTTGAGTTTTCACTTTCCCGTTTAGTTGAACAGCGCACAAGCGAATGTCTATTGGGATCCGGATCCCAATAGGAGATCCTATTCTGCTTTAGAACTTAATGCTATATCTTCACCGGTGAGGCCTCGGAACATGGCAGTGGGGTTTTCAGATACCCGGAGGGTAAATCTTACCGGTTGTTTTTATTGATAAAGTGAGGTCAAATCAATGACTTTACTCGGACCCCGTAAGCGCGTTTCGGCGCCGCAGCACACGTCGATGGTGCGAGATTCTAGAGTCCTAGTTAAAGAAGCTTGTTGTCTTATCTGACACAAGATTCAAACATTAAAAGCTTCAACATGTAGTGTAGAACGCAATTTCAGGAAACTAGGAATATCACTTTGTGAACTCAAATCATTAGCATTTGTGGTGCGTGGTGATAAGGATAAATGAGAAAAGTTGGTCCTGAGGTTGGAAGAATTGTTAAGAGGTAAGGCACTGATGCAATCGTCAGCAAGATGATCTCGGGTGCTGGTATAGATATGAGGGTGGTTGTCACTTCCTGGTCCCCCACAACATGGAAGGATATTTCTTCTTGAGGGGCCTGAAAATAAAGCCGGCTTAATGGTGGCCTTAGTTACCTAGGAGTGTAACCGCAGAACCCAAGGGATAACTATTTGAGATCGGTCACACACGGCCTTTTTATGTGAAGTCTTTGACGAGTTGGCTCCACACTTTAGAAGGCCTAACCATCAGAGATGGAATTCCGTGGGATAAGGCGAGGTGTACATTTTCAGGGTTAACCTTTTCTAACCCTGCCCTTCCTTTGTGGGAAAGCAGCATCTCTGTTATGCTGGTTATCTGCGGGAAACACCTTACTTCCGTCACATCTGTCTTTACAGTCAGCAGTTCGAATTCGTCCTCGGACCTTGCGTCTGTTTATTTTAGTCTTGTGGTTCTCCGACCGACCTCCCTGGCATGTGTTCCAGCCAGTATAGCTTGGTTATGTCATCGCGACCACCACGTCATGGTAGCACCTACTGTTGGGGTTTCTGAGAAGTACCTCTTAACGTATCCAACCACTGATTGTGTTTATCACCTGAAACTCAAATACAGCCTTCACCTATTGATATGACTCATTCCAACAGTCATCGCGTTTATAAACTGATAATGTCACGATTCGGGTCCTCTAACTTTCTTCTAAATTATTCCTACTCCAGCCATTATTGCGCCTATAGATAAACTGTAACTGACCATGCATAACCCTGGTATGTAGCCCCAAACTAAAACGTCACTATACAATTTGTACGATATTAGGTAGCTGATGCATGGTGGTGGAAGTGAAGTATGATTGATCACTGAGTTTGGGAAAATACTTACTTAGCCTACTGACTATTAAATATTTGATTTCCCTTATTGTCATTGATTTCTATTCCAAATTCATCGAGAGTGACTTTGTAATTGTTTTTGAAAAAATATGTAAACTATACTCTGGTTCCCTATTCTGTATCATGAACCCTGGATCTGATATAACGTAACTAGTCGTATTAACGTATTATCGAAGTATCCCTGAGAGCGATAAAATATCTTAAATCATCCGTTATATTAGTGGCCTCGATTTTTCAAATTCACCATGGCTAAACTGATACTGAGTTGAAGTTCTTGGTTGGGTCACAGTTTTAAATCTGTATCTGTCTACATCAGTTTAATCGGTTGAATAGTATCAGTAATAATTCTCACGAATATCTTCAACTTAAAACAAAGTACATGCATCTGGTCTTGATTACTGAGTTCCGTCATTTATTTAATTAACTAGTTTGATTTGTCAAAAAATTCAGTGTTTAAACTATAATAGCTTGTAATTCATTTTAGTTTATTTCAAAATTATTTGTGTTTCTTTTTTTTAATGTAGATTTTGTGTGTCATCAACATTCTGCTTATGGAGTCTAGTGATACTTTGTCGTTTATTTAATCGAAGTGATAATATAGAGTGTAGAAACTATCAACGTTATTTAAATAGTTTCTGTTGGACGTTGATTAATTGTGTTGTGATTGGATTCGGTCTATTAGTTTTGACTTTTGGTTAGTTATATCATACACTTGTATTTTGTTGTTCTTCAACTTAATCAATAATTATTAAAATCATTATCATAAGTGATTGGTGTCGAATCAAAATACTAATTTTTGTAAATGCTATAGTCTAAGTGGAACAATCAGATAGGATAAATTTGATATTTCATTAAACCTATTGATAATTGTGTTTCAGTATTATTAAATGAAAAGTGTATCACATTTTAAGCTCATAGAAAGCGTCTAAATCAGGCATCAGTAATTTTGCTTAATAGTTAATAAAATAGAAATTCCTCTATTTTAAAACTTGTTTGATGTTGTCATGTTCTTTGAATAATGGTTTTTTTTGTTAGATTCATCATTCCAAATTATTCAATCACTTTCCAAATATATTTAGTTTTATGTTCGACCACATATTCTAGAATACAGGCATACTTATCGCCGTCCGACAATGGTGGTCTTCCTTGACTTAAAAGCAGCGTTTGACTCGGTTGACCGAGAGGTTTTGTGGCAGTATCTGTCATTGAAAGGCGTACCTCAGAAGTACATAAACCTTATGAAGACTCTTTACTCGAACACTACTAGTCGAATCAGAGCTTATGGCAAACTGTCATCCGCTTTTGCAACCTCACGTAGTGTCCGTCAAGGCTGACAATTTGTGTTTAACTTCATCATAGATCTACTGATGGAAATAACTCTCTCATCGACTGAATTCTCAGGCATTGATCTCCTACCAGGAGGTCCACTTATCGACTTAGAATACGCAGATGACATAGTCCTGTTTGGTGAAGACGCTGATGAAATGCAGAGTCTTTTGGTAGCACTGAGCAACAATGCCAGAATGTTTGGGATGCACTTCTCTCCCTCTAAATGCAAGTTGTTGCTGCAGGACTGGTCTGCGTCAACACCTGAACTAAGGATAGGGAGTGAAGTAGTCGGGCACGTTGACAACTTCACTTATATTGGAAGTCTGATCAGCCCTACTGGGTTGGTGTCTGACGAAATCTCAGCACGGATTCGGAAAGCTCGTTTGGCTTTTGCCAACTTACGTCACCTATGGCGAAGGCGAGATATCCGTCTATCAATTAAGGGTCGAGTATACTGCGCGGCAGTTTGTTCCGTTCTACTATACGGCTGCGAAACATGGCCTTTAAGAGTAGAAGATATTCGTAAGTTACTAGTATTTGACCACAGATGCCTTAGAAATATTGCTGGGATCACCGGGTAAGTAATAGTGAGGTTAGACGCCAGGGTATTAGGGAATGATGGTAAATCAGTTGATGAGGTTATGAATCTTCATCGACTGAGATGGTTGGGCCACGTGCTACGTATGCCTGAACACCGATTACGACGACGCGCAATGCTAACCGGTGTTAGGGATATTTGGAAGAAAGTTAGGGGCGGCCAAACCAAAACGTGGCATCAGTGCTTGAAGTCATTAACTTCTGGTCTGAGCCATGTTGGTAGATGCAGACTACCTGGTTGGGATCCGCATGACTATCGTAACCAATGGTTGGAGACTCTTGGTGACATGGCTCAAAATCGATCACAATGGCGTCGGTGTATACACTCCTTGTCTTCCTTCAAACTAAGAGATTAAAATCGCTTCATATCTTTCTTTTTACGAACTAATTCTTTCATCCTGTATCATATCCTTATACACAATCTTTCTTTTATATACTACTACCTTTGATGTGACTACTTCTATGGATTTGGTGTTCATCTTGTTGTGCTAATGCGGTATGGCAAGTTGGACCGATGCATATATGTGCCTGGTCCTACGTTTCAGCTGATTAACTGACTAGTTTTATGTTAATGAAAATGATTTGTACTTTCATTGAATAATGATCTTCGCACTAGGTATTGTATTCTAATATTCATGTGGCTCAAGATGACATAATGTGCAGGGGTAACAATGATACATCGTTGTTGAATCTTGTTATTTAATGTAATCCTTTGAGTCATATCATTATCATATTCCAATCACACAATTTACTGTTTATTTTATAATCAGTATTTTGAAAATTCTCCATCATATTTTAGCTAATTCTTGGTCATTGGGACCTACTGTATATCAACTGGTTCCACTTATTCTAGTATTATCATTAAACTATTCAAGAACTCGACGAAAACAACTATTAACCTTGATTAATTATATATGGAATGAATTGTTCGCGACAGACTATGGAGTTTCATCTCTTTATACTGTTTGTTCAATTACATTAGCTTCTATTTGTTTACTTGAACTGCTTGTGAGTTTTACACCTTGTTTGTATATGAATTTTTCTACAAAATTTTTTGTTTATTATGAAATATGTAATTCATATTTTAAATAGTCACTGAGTAGTCAGTTTTATTTGATTTGTTAGGATAGCATACTATATCTACCTAATCCTATCGTTTTTATGTATACAGTTTCTAGTTTATAAATGTAAAAAACAATTTATCAACTTAACATATATTCATGATGTGAGCATCGGTGACATATGTTATGATTGTTGAAGGTAAATATCATGAAGAGTAGTATGTAAAACTACCGACACTACTACAAATCATTCAGTAATTTGGTAGACCATTATCGACTAGCGTTATGAAGGTATACATTATATGTTCTCAGTTCACACTTAGTACTTTAGTATAATGTTAGCATAGTATAAGTTAATCAGACTAAAATTTGGCGCTTACGCATTAAGCTCTTTACTACCTATTATTTAGTTGATTTTAATCTTGATTGTGGCTAGCAATGTAATTGAGAATACGTGGGATCGAGGCACACACTCAGGATGCACATAATACCAACAGTAATTGATCATATGCAATCCTGAATATCAATAAAGGAAGAGTTACAAACCTGTTCTAATACTGATCACTTAATCTATATATATTTCATGATAATTTTTTGTCTCTTCTTCAACATCGTTAAAAAAATGTGTCAAAAGCTTTTTCTATTTCTCTATCATTTCTAATTTTGATACGGCTTTAGTTCCGTGGAACCTAAAGTTACTGTTGTGTGGGCAAGAATGATCATGATTGGTTGTCTGCTTAGTCAGACTTGTAGACAGTCTGACAGGTGTCAGATAAGCTATATATTCCTTTACCCTTATTCTTGTGACACATCTACATATACATACTCGTATTATTGATTGTTCATTGTTGTGGATTGTGTCGGTTTTGGGGTGTGAAAATACATTACGTTCTGGTCAGGCTGACTACGTGTTCTTGATCTGAGTTGTGTTGAAGTCCTGTAGAGTAGACACTGGAAGGGATCTAGTGTAGATAATCGTTTAAGCGTTACAACATCAGACAAAGTAATTCCGAGCGTTATAACAGTTACAACTACCGAAAGCTACACCACCTAATGACAAAATAAATAAACTACATAATACTAGTCTCTTGTTTTCTTCTTTCTTTGTACGTATTGCTTCTTACGAAAATTGGACTAATATCCATGATAATATACTAACTGAACATTGTTTTGGGAAAATTCCAACTGATTAGACCGAACCCATAGTTAGTTATTCAATTTGGCATTTTATTTTTAATAAAACAGATGTTTGAATTTAAATATAAACATAGTGTAAATTTGAAATGATGTCTTCATTGGACTTCGGACCTTTTTGTTTGTTCGAGGTTCAGGAGTGTTTAAATTATTCTGATTCTCCACACCATTAGCTTTCTGTACTTGTCTCTCATGCGGCAAGATAAGTTCATTTGTGGAATTCATAAGGTGTTTTTAACTACCTCAGTGATTAAATAATTTACACTACTGAATATCTACACAGATATAGTTCTCTTTTTTCTAATATTGTTCAGTAGAATAAAACAGATTAAAACGTTAATAATCTCATTAGTATCTAATGATTGACATTGGAACAATTCTTTTTCCGCCTAGTTACTTGCGTTTTTTCTCCGAATCTTGGCAGTCTACATGATATTAAATGTTTAATGGTTATTTTCTCCTGTTTTTGTTTCTTTTTCCTATTTCAAAACAGATCTGGGGATTTTTTCAACGTTATCTACTATCTTTGGCATGCTTATTGTTTGCTTTATGGCCTTACATAGATGAGTCGTTCAGACCACATGAAAAGGTAAACAATAGCAGACATTATTGATCTATTGACTTATAATTATTCATACATTAATGTCGGTCAATTTGAATGAACTTGATAGTAGTCATATGTCAACTCAAAAGGGTTATTATTTCGCAAGTTGTCATCGTAATTAGTAAGTAGGTTGTTTAAGACGTGTTTAGTGAAGGTTTGATAATCGTACGATTTCAAAGACTCATTGCACTTTGTTTATGATCTGGTTTCGTTCTATGTCTTAGCGATTGTACGAGGTCCAGTCATTGCTTACGAGCGTATGTCATGCTTTGTCGGCACTAAAATTCACTTTGTTTTCCAGAAACTAAGTGTAGATAGTTATTGTCTCCCCATCCAGAAGGTTGTCTAATTCTTCTTCAACAATCATATTCACTAGAAAGCCTTTTAAAGTAGTACTATGATGTTCTATCATATTATCTATGTTTGTTTTAGTTCACAGAAAGTTTATTAAACTAGAGTGTACACTTCCAATAAAATTTAACAAGTAAACAATGCAAACAAGTGATTAATGCAGTTTTCTTTTGAAAAAAGTCAATAGCTTTCTATCTGCTCACATTTGATATTGATTATTATTATTACGCGTTTGGATTTTTATTTTTCTCTAACACAGCTTATTCTTTCTTTGTGGCACATTTCGTGTTGTGGTTTGGCTATATTTCCTCTATTACCTGCCATTGGATCAAATATGTGTCCAACAATTGTGTAAGTATGCATATACATAATGTTAGTGAAAATCATAATAACAATGATTAGAAATTCGTAGGTAATTTGTATTATGATGAAATGATGTTAACTGCGTAGCCTTAAAAATGAAAATTTATTATTTATTTTAACACATAGGTATTGGTACAAGGAGGCACCAAATACATATGCGCCACACGAATCTCAATTGATTTGTGTGAGGGCTGTGATACTGCTCGGGTGCCCAAACTGAAGCAGGTGGTTTTCTTAAGGGACCACACCCCGAGCCTTTGACCTGAACGTCTGATCCACAAGGCAGTGGAGCATCGTAAGGAGATGCAGTCACATGGTAGCCGGTGACTGACGATTGGTTCATACGCCATTTGTTCCTTCAGGATACTGGAGCCCATGTGCACCATTGGTTTGGGATCCGGTTAAAGCGCCGAACATTCGCTTTTCGTCCTCTCATTTTCGTAAACAACACCCCCGCCACGTGAAGGCAGTGAGTAGGACTTCTCTGGCAGAGGCTATGTACGCGTGGCCATGTGAGAACATTTCGAGAGGGAGCGCGGACTCTCCCCACTCTCGGCCGTACCAGGGCATTTGGGGGCAGCTGTTTCGGCCTAGTTTAGAACTCAGCTGCGAAAAGCCACGACTCAAAACAGGACCTATCACCTTCAATCCTTACATGGTGAGCTTTATAACACTCAGTTATTAAATTGTAGTTAAGTAACTAAAATATTAAGTTATTTTTATAAAAGTCTCATCGATTGAAATAAATCTAAAGTTTCTCTCGGCAGCCTGGTCCAAGCTTTTTCGAGGGAAGTTATCAAACATCAAATTTATCGTATATAAATACATGATTCAATAATTAACTGTGTACCAAACAAACCGTCCAACCACGTCAACGATTCTGAATATGGAACTCGTTGTAAGAATATCATGTTTCAAACGGGAATAGTCTTTTAAGGGTATGAAATTTATTTCAATATGCCCTCCCCAACATTCACCTATAACCTTGTCCCATCAATCAAAAGCGTTGTTTTAGACGGCCAATTAAATGCCTGTTATCTCACTCATAAAAATAGTGAGTTTGAGTTGTCAATATTAGTTCTGCTCAGCGTTGTTGTGCGCCATATCTGTTTCGGATGATGAAGCTGGTGTGGTTTTGAAATAGATATTTGTTGGTGTGTATGATTTCCAATAGAAGCAGAACTAAGCTCAAAGCTTATAAGAATGTGATTTTCTCCCATTTCATAATACGAGACTCTTCGAAACCCAAATTATTTTTATGTAAAATTTACACAAAATGAAGGGTCAGTCCTAGCGTCTGAGAAGTTCTCAAGCGATACGAAGGTTTTTTCCACAGTAATTTCTTTATCCAGTGACATAGAATACTTGTTGGTAATGTTTATGAACCCTATTTATTTGTTCGGTCGATAGAAGTCTTTTACACAGTATCTAGATGACCATTAGGCCATAATCACTATTTGCTCAGTTTCGCTTATGAGAAAGATACTCACTTTCATCGCTTGACGCCGAATCAAAAGAATATGATTCGCCCTTTATCGATATTCGGAGCTGTAGCTTTTGTTGTCATCGATTCTGTCCGTGAAAGTTACCGAAGAAAAGCAATCGACAAGTTGTTTCTTACATACAACTAACTTTATTCAAACGATCAAAACTAGGCCAGTCTAATCATGATCATAATCCTTACTTAGTAGGTGATTCGAGGCGTTGACTGCATATAACATCGATCTTGAAGGTGGAACTTTGACTCATCTTGAAGAGAGCAGTTATCTGGAGTGCTACTTTTTTCAATAGCAGGTTGAAAATATACCCCTCCCCTGACTTTCGAATGCTGTCATTCTTTCTTTGTATGAACCGAAACCTTTCAGAAGAATTATTGTTCCATTGACGTCAATTTTATGTCTAGATTCTATTGAATTCAATGCTATGGTTGATTTGTTTTAAAATTTTTTTTGAGGTCCTCTGAAGATTCAGGAATATGCTTTAAACGAAGTATGTTTCTTTGTGACATTGGATCGCCATCAGGTGAATCCATTCTTTTGATTTCCTCCTCACTTTCCTTCCTAATTACTTTTCCCAAAATGTTCCTGAAACATTGATTTATTATCAAATTAATAAGCTCAACCCATTTTCCTTACCTATCGGTTCTGTGATGAGTTTCTGAACTCTGTTTATCAGACTGTTACCTTTGTAGGTACATGAATTGCTTACAACATAACCTAACTTATCAGTCTAAAATTGTTTAAAACATAGATCTATATCTACTAGAAAACATAAAGTATCAAATAGCTACTTTTTATCTTTTGTTAAACTTCTGACAAGTTTTTTAATTTACTAAGGTTGAGAATCACTCACTCAGTGATTACATATACTCTGTGACTCTGAATAGCCATTTTGTTGCAGTATGGCACTTTCTGCAATACTTATTCACAACTCTATCAGGGACTAAACGCAAGATCTTCAAACTACTTAATTGGTACCCAGTCTCAATTCGCGCTATTTCACGACTATCGTTAACAGTTCTTGGTGACACATATCATATCAGACATCGAGAGACCTCACTGGTCACGTCTTTAGTTGTATTGTGGTAGAATGGAGCTTAATCTGCTTGTGTACTGAACTACTGACTAACGTATGGTTGATGTACTATTTGATATGAATGAAAAGTGGGAATTTTGTAAATAATCAACTTATTGTGGAATTTTTAATTGAAACCAGTGGAGTTCAATCATGTCAAGCATGATAGAAGCATAGCAGATGGTGGCCAATGATGATTGCATAGTATAACGAATTCACTGAAGTTAAAAATATAAAACTTTAGATGCCACGTCAAGAGTATTAAGGTGAGAAATTCATCAGTAGGCCTAGATATCTTAAGTTCAATCCTTGATGGGGTCTTTTATACAAAATGCAGTGAAGTCGTACATATGAACTAGATGCCCATCAATGCTTGGTTTTCAATGCTCATGTAACTAAATTTTAGCTTGTAATACAGGTTTCGAAATTCAACAAAAACCGCAACCCCAACTCTACTAATAATCTGATACTTGTATATATCACAAATTGAATTCGACTTGATAGAGTGTATTTATTTGTATTATTGATAATGATAATAGCGAGTTGTAAAAGGGCAAATTAACAAATGCCAATTAATGTTATTTAGGCTTATCTTTATCACTCACTGGTTTTGGGAAACTGATTGTCATGTTTTTTTGAATATTTTAATTGTTCAATACGTTCTTTGTTGATTGGTTGACTTTAAACATTATTAAGCTCGAAACCTGGGTTTGTATCGTCGATTGTTGGAGAGTAACCCAAAGTAAAGGAGTCAAAGCTTTCCTATCAAATGAGTGTATTAATGACTCAATGAGGGAGGGACGAAACTGTGAATAGCTGCTGATAACAGGCGTAAACGTGATGAAGAACACTGTAGTTCTGTTAGCGAAATCCCATTTGAAATTTGAAGTAAAATAGTGTAACCTACCGTTTTGACAGTTTAGTTTTTTTCTCATTTTTTTAAATATCAGTGCCCACTATATGAGAGGCATAGTTATAACTATTTTATCTTATACACAATGTATTCCCATTTTTTAGATTTATAACCGGTCTTATTCTTACACCAATATCAATTATATCCTTTCGGTTTGTATCAGGTTCGCAAAATCATCTTTTTGTATGGCTTGGTTATCTGTTCGTAAGTGTAACCTTGTTTGCTAATTTGCTATATCTTAGAATATTGTGAACAGCCAAAAGTGCTTTAACTATCCTTTACGAATGTCAGTGTTAAACTAGTACTAATTTTTTTATTTATTTGATACATATAAATATTGGTACAACTGGGCACCAAATTAAATGCGTATCGTATAACTAAGGAATACAAATGTGAGGAGATAAATGAAGGAGTGCAATTAAGCACAAAAAAATTTGAAGAAATTATTGAACCAGTGTTGTAAATAGTGGTATTCCATTTTGAACTTCAGTTATCATTCTTAACATTTAAGTCATCAGTCCACCAACTAAAACTATTTCATCAATTCTGATGAACAATAATCAGTCAATCATTTATATGATCTACTTCAGACGGCGAGACTATAATTTATGGACGAACTAATCAGATATAAGATAACAGAACTTGGATTTTGGCGTGGAATTCCTTTATATGTTTTGGCATTTTAGCTGATGCCAGTTCTTGATCTAATTCCTAACCGTAACCATCAACTGTGAATCATAATTTCAATTTCTCACACTGGTTTATAACCCTCATTTCGTCGTAGTTATTAGATAGATATCTTCAAAGTCACTTTAACGTTGCTCAAAGGTCGTCCATAAATTGTTGTCTCACCCTTCAGATCATTTTGAATTGCCTTCAAAAAGTACATTTAGTTATACAACTAGTATTTGATAAGTGCAAACAATTAGATTTCTATCTTTCACCTAGAAACTGGGTTTCTAATACTGTGACTGTGTTGGGAATGTTAGATCCTCAGAACTCAGTTGGTAAATGTCTTATTTTAGTAATTTTATTTCGGAAATTTGAATTCCTTGTTTCGCTCCAAAAGCGCCAATTTTCACCTTCATGTCGTATTTCCCACTTTGTGGCAGGACTCTAAATGCCATTGATTCGTTAACACTTTTGATATGCTATTTTGTAACGTTCCCCAAGGACATTTTACGCTGTATATATACTCTTGGGTTGTGTTTGCTGTTGTTCATGCTCCTGGCTGCATATGAAATACATTTCAGTCAGTCAGCCAGCTGCAACGTAGGACCAGGCACATATATGCATCGGTTCAAGTTGCCATACCGCATTAGCACAACAAGATGAACACCAAATCCATAGAAGTAGTCACATCAAAGGTAGTAGTATATAAAAGAAAGATTGTGTATAAGGATATGATACAGGATGAAAGAATTAGTTCGTAAAAAGAAAGATATGAAGCGATTTTAATCTCTTAGTTTGAAGGAAGACAAGGAGTGTATACACCGACGCCATTGTGATCGATTTTGAGCCATGTCACCAAGAGTCTCCAACCATTGGTTACGATAGTCATGCGGATCCCAACCAGGTAGTCTGCATCTACCAACATGGCTCAGACCAGAAGTTAATGACTTCAAGCACTGATGCCACGTTTTGGTTTGGCCGCCCCTAACTTTCTTCCAAATATCCCTAACACCGGTTAGCATTGCGCGTCGTCGTAATCGGTGTTCAGGCATACGTAGCACGTGGCCCAACCATCTCAGTCGATGAAGATTCATAACCTCATCAACTGATTTACCATCATTCCCTAATACCCTGGCGTCTAACCTCACTATTACTTACCCGGTGATCCCAGCAATATTTCTAAGGCATCTGTGGTCAAATACTAGTAACTTACGAATATCTTCTACTCTTAAAGGCCATGTTTCGCAGCCGTATAGTAGAACGGAACAAACTGCCGCGCAGTATACTCGACCCTTAATTGATAGACGGATATCTCGCCTTCGCCATAGATGACGTAAGTTGGCAAAAGCCAAACGAGCTTTCCGAATCCGTGCTGAGATTTCGTCAGACACCAACCCATTAGGGTTGATCAGACTTCCAATATAAGTGAAGTTGTCAACGTGCCCGACTACTTCACTGCCTATCCTTAGTTCAGGTGTTGACGCAGACCAGTCCTGCAGCAACAACTTGCATTTGGAGGGAGAGAAGCGCATCCCAAACATTCTGGCATTGTTGCTCAGTGCTACCAAAAGACTCTGCATTTCATCAGCGTCTTCACCAAACAGGACCATGTCATCTGCGTATTCTAAGTCGATAAGTGGACCTCCTGGTAGGAGATCAATGCCCGAGAATTCAGTCGATGAGAGAGTTATTTCCATCAGTAGATCTATGATGAAGTTAAACAAAAATTGAGAAAGTGGACGGCCTTGACGGACACCACTGCTCATGATCATTCCTTAGACTTTTAGTTAACCTAGATCTGATTTGCTTCCGCTCGTCATCGTGTTCAGACCCTGATGGGATGAGTTTACGAGAATCCATCAGTGTAATAGACCTAGAAGAAATCCATTGTTTCTTAGTAACCCTTTGATTTAAGTCACTAATAGATGTCAGTGCTGTTTCCACAGCTGTTCGTATATCTTTCCAAGCAACACCTGGGTCAGCCTTGTTTTCAGAACTAACTAAGTGTGACCTCAGTTGCTCTTGGAACCTACTTTTGGTTTTCTCGTTACTCAATTCGGTTCTAATGAGTCTTTTTAATGTGGCTTTTTTGCCTCCAGTGAAGCGAAAGCAGATGCGTGCTCGTACTAGGGCATGGTCGGAGTCCAAGCAGGTACTCCAGAATGAGCGACAATCTTCTATCGACCCTCTCCAACGATGACTGATGGCAATATGGTCTATTTGAGTCCATCGTTGATTTGTAGCAAGGGGTCTCCATGTTAGACGGTGTCTCTCCTTATGCTTAAAATTTGTGTTTGCTAAAAATAAACGATTGTCTGAGCACAGTTGCAGCAAACGATCACCATTATCTGTTCGCTGCGCCGGAATACTAAAATACCCACTTAATTGTCTTTTAGTTTCGTTTAAGCTACCTACGTGGGCATTAAAGTCACCTCCTACGAATACATTTCCCCTCTTCTGAATCTATTCTTTTCTCTAATTATATATATATATATATATATATATATATATATATATATATATATATATATATATATATATATATATATATATATATATATATATATATATCAATTATCAAACGATAAATCGACTCAGTCAATTTAACTAGCAGCAATCAAACAAGAACAAGCAATATGGGACTCAAGTGTTTGATTAAAAGTATACTAATATCAAGGAATTGATTGAAACCAAAATTTAAAACGACCAGTCCCTTTGATAAATTTCGATAATGCAATGAGAAGACGAAGGTTTTCAGAATTTTGTGATATATTTCGCGCAATACATTTCGAACAATCTGATCACACATATACTTTTTAAGACATTTTTGTATGAAAAATAACCGGTCGCTTAGACAGTTTTAAGGTAAGCTGTAATAATAAAAAAATAAAGTACACAAAAACAATGTGATAACCACTCTGGATAATCAGTATTAGCAGGGTAGATTAAGGGTAAGAACAAATTGCTTTTTGGAACACATAAAATGGGATTCAATTTCCGTATAGCCAAGGCTTCAATAAACCTTAGTATACGTTCTTAAAAGCTTTTGTACAAAACTACACAGGCTGAATTGATATCAACCTTATGACCAGTGTCGACCAAATGTTTCGCGATGGAGTAAGATGTCTGTCTATCCTGTGATCTTATTTGACCATTGGAATTCATTTGTTTCTGCAACCATTTGGGTATGTGTTCCGCGACCCTTAATTGCCAAAATTGTAGACAAAATTAATAACACCAATCTCCTTTGTAACCAAAAATAAACGAAGTACTCAAGAATGAATGTACCGAGAGTATTGACTTTACAAAAGGTTATTTTCATGTAGAATACAGAAGGAAGGGATTCCCCTCCTCCACACACAAATTCACGTACACATATGTGAGAAGAGCTTCTGTAGAGATTTTAGTAATTTCAATAGTTGAAATCATGAGTCAATTGAAGCTAGACCACCATGGAAAACCTGGAAGCACTGGACGGCCGTTTCGTCCTAGTATGTGACTCCTCAGCAGTGCGCATCCACGATCCCGCCCGCCGCGAGATTCGAACCCAGGACCTACCGGTTTCTCCGGCTCAATGATCTAATGGTAGGTCCTGGATTTGAATCTCACGGTGAGCGGGATCGTGGATGCGCACTGCTGAGGAGTCACATACTAAGACGAAACGGCCGTCCAGTGCTTCCAGGTTTTACATGGTGTCTAGCTTCAATTGACTCATGATTTCAATTATTGAAAGTACACATATGTGCCAAAAGATCTCACACATCACTATTCAAAACTCAAACACGGATCATAATGGGCTGAGACTTCCGTGTTTTTGCTCTGCAAAGTTCGAAGTTGCATAGCTCCCAACATTAGGGCGACTATTTAATACTTGTTCTAGATATTTATACATAACTCCGTGACCAACTTGATGTAAACATGTTAAGTATTACCTAGAAACGAATTTCAAATGGATACAACAAAAAAAATTGGATTGTATTTACTTGATTTGTTATTGTTATCATTTCATAATGTGAAAAGACAAGCTGTTCCGATCAATTGACTAAAAATTTTGCACTACTGATGTATCATAAAATGTATCTGGACGATGAAATTTGCTTTCTTTGTTTTTATTACTGAGATTCAATGGTAAATCTTTAGATTAATCAAATATATTGGTTGATTTTGTCTAACTGTATGTACAATAATTGTTTCATTTTTTCTTTCAATATATGTATAGGGTTTTGTAATTTGTCTTTCAAGTTTTGCTGTTTATGCAATTAGTTTCTCAGTGATACGTACTGGGATATTGAAGATTATTATTCATATATTTAGTTGGGCTGTGATTAGTAAGTTTTTATTTACTCGTATTCACTTTTTTATTGCACATTTTTTGTGTATTTTTTACACAAATGCAAATCGATGTTCTATTTTATTAAACAATGTGAAACAAGATCATAAAGAAACATAGAACAATACTGCATTGAAAACTTATCAATCAAAAGTAAATCAACAACTTGGTTGAAAATAATTTTAAAGGGAAAAGTGTAGCAAATAGACAAATGACAACATATGAAACTGTAGTAATGAAATATATTTTTCACAATACCATTTAAGATCTTAAACTGCAAGTGTCTAGCATTCGTTGCAAAAGCCTCCAGTTCACTACATATATGATTCTTTAGGGGTTGACTTTATGTTCTCACTTTTAGGCTTCTTGTTCCCACTTTAGGCTTACATTAAAAACACTAGTGATCGTTTATTAATTACTCAACATTTCCCTACATTCACTGAATATATCTCAAAACGATGTAATAAAATCTTAAACTTACAGTCAAATCCAATACTATAACATTGACAAAAAGCGAATATATGATTATACCTGATGTAAATTTACACATTCAAAAGGTTTGGTATGGATTTCTTGTAGTTAGATCGTAAAATGACTATTTAAACCTCTACCAATAATGTAAATCAACTCTTATACATTTTCCCCCAAAGTATCAACCTGGAGTTTGTGTGAGTAGAGTAGGTACAAAGATGTTTCAGGTTTCACGTTTAAAGTGTATTTTTCACGATGTGAACTGTGTCAAATGCAAGTTACGTTGTTTTCATAACTTTTAAGCTAGTATTCAGTGTTTAAAGTGTAGTATTAATTTCACTCTTAATAAATGTTCTTGGCGGACACCTTTGTCACCCAATGAAATTATTCTTCTTTATTATGTTTTTATTCATTCTAGTACTTCTACCTCTGTCAGTTGTCCTTCTTGTTCCAACACGTCTTGGACCTCGAATGATTGGATGGACAATCGTTTATCTTGTCCCACTTTTACTAATGAGCACTTAGTATCCTTTTTCTAAATTACAGGTTAAGGAGAAGAAATTCCTTGTTCCATTTGATGTGATATAATTTATACTTAAATTGAATGGTATATAACTCTCAATCTCATGCAAGTACATAAACAAGAAACACTGATCACGTTGACACGTAAAGGCAATATGTTGCATAAGATCTTATTATTTTTGACACCGAGTGGAAACTAAATATTCGAAAAACTCCAGTTTCAACCAATTAGCCATGTAAGAGCAATGATGAAAGATATCATCGATAGCAAATATGTCACTGATTGGATACTTTTATTTGACTTGTATTTAGTAGGGTCACAACATTGTTCTCCAAACTTTTTCCCACTTAAATTAATCTCAAAAGCCAAAGAATATCTTTAGTTGCCTACAGTAAGTTCGATTTTAAAAAATTACAGACGTTGTAAACCTTACTTTTAAAGTTTAGAAAATAAAACATTTTAATACACCTTACCATAGTAAAGATTTCCTGTGTAATGCAACATATATTTATTGATTATTACCAACTTTTATTAACTAGAACAGTTAGGCAATTCATTACAGATACTCCAAAATTTTGTTTGCAAGTGTAGGACAGGATCACCAGACCAAGACACTTCACCAATCTATAATACCATTAAATATTAGACCTATGAAATACTCTATGAATCGATGCTTTTTGGAAGGATGTTAGGAATCGGTGTGTTAAAAATTGAGTCAAACAAAATTTAGGTTTGATAATAGTCAAATATGATATGATACAAATGTTCTACGACTTTTTTTCTCTGATCACTTTCTCAATAGACTGCTATCCAAATGTGAGTATAGAAATAATGTTGTTTCCAATTATAAGTTGCTTCAAAACATCTATTTATTAGAAGTGCTTGCGATGTTTTAATTCCACTCCTTGCGAGTAATTCCATTAAGAGAGTTAGTGTATAATTCTAAAGTTTAATATTCTTTTAAATGTAATGTGTTTGTTTCACAATATAAATTATGTTCGCATAAAAACACTATCTATCAAATATTACTTTTATTTAACGAATAGTAATGCTGTTCTTCAAGATTAGTTTTTATTTCTCTATTATCTTTCTCCTCTCATTACTAGTTCTTCAGATGTAAACTTAAAGAACCAATATAAATCCCCATTCGAATTTCAATAAACTTCATTCTTACTATTCTAAGGTCGAGTAGTTTTTATTAAGTTTATTCCAAACGTCGAATTTTTTCTAAGATTGATTTTATCTTATTAGTTATATCTATTATCACATACTATCAACACTTATACTTACCCTAAAGAAGTCCAGACGCTGAGATTATATAAATTTCAGTCGCTGAGATTATTTCAAATATAGTTTTCACAAGTTATGACTTATTGTTTATCAATGTACTAAAATAACACACTGGCCCCATGTTAATGCTAGGTGTGTAGTGATTATTTCTTTGTTTCTTTACTTACATGTAAGACAATCATCTAAATTCAGGAATTTTCACCCTAATAATGGTAAAAGACTGCTTTTCAGAAACTTTTAATGAATTATATTCAGTTCGTGTACTGTTATTTAACTTCCAATCAATTTCACTAGTTATGAAGTTTCATTCTTTGCTGTATTCGCTGTGGTCACCTATCTATGGTTTTATATAGAAACGAAAACACTGAAATTAATTTTAAAGGATAATATCAGGGTGAGTTTGGTCCATCTTATCAAATTTCGTTCAGCATTGTCTATGTTAATCTTCTGTTAGTAAGTTTTCTTAAAAACTGGATGGATGTAAGTACACTGATTAGCTCTCCTCTTTTTGGAGTCTATCTCATACTTCATTTTATACAAATTATTTTGTGTTCTGAATATTCATCTCTTACTTGGAGATGTAGCAATTTTTATATTTTTGGATTATTTGTTCATATTAGTTGTCAGAGTTGTAATAACAGATTCGAACTCGTTTGTGATTGACTGAACTTTGAATAGTTACCAATGACATGTTTGCCTAGTTCTTAATGCTGATCGAATTCTATCGGTCGAGTTACAATTCCATTATTAAGATAACAAGTGCTCACTATGGGATTCAAACTTGTGTCATCTAACTCAATTCCACAGACGGTTGGTAGTGACACAAATAGGCTAATGGTGACCTCTGTGAAGCTGGGTCACTCTGATTCAAATCTCTGTGGGAGTATCAGTCCCCCCAAGTTTCCAGGTGTATCTTGCTAACAAGTAGGACATACTCTAAAAATACTTCCAAAAACTCGCTTCTTTGTGAAGTATGTACTAATAAGGCTTAAAACTTCACTATCAAACTGTGCAGCTCAGAGAAAATAACACTTCTCATACATTATTAACTATGTCATTACACTAGTTAGATAGTGAATTTCGATTCAATGTCTTGTTTTATATTTTTCGTGATTATTAGGTTTGGGATCTTGAGACATCAACTGACGACAGCATTCATTCAGTTATTCAGAATCAGTATCCGTACAGTGAAAATCCGTTAAACCTGAAGAGATTTCGTCAATCACTTTTCTTTGTATCCTTTTTCTACAGGAAAAAAATTACTCGTTTACACTTACTCAAATACACTTATTAAAGATGGTGTAAAAAATAACCATTTTATGGCATCATTTCTGTATAGCCTCTGCCAGGGAAGTCCTACTCACTGCCTTCACGTGGCGGGGGTGTTGTTTACGAAAATGAGAGGACGAAAAGCGAATGTTCGGCGCTTTAACCGGATCCCAAACCAATGGTGCACATGGGCTCCAGTATCCTGAAGGAACAAATGGCGTATGAACCAATCGTTGGTCACCGGATACCATGGGACTGCATCTCCTTACGATGCTCCACTGCCTTGTGGATCAGACGTTCAGGTTGGAGGCTCGTGGTGTGGTCCCCTAAGAAAACCACCTGCTTCGGTTTCGGCACCCGAGCAGTATCACAGCCCTCACACATATCAAATGAGATCTGTGTGGCGCATCTGTATTTGGTGCCTTCTTGTACCAATATCTATGTGTTAAAATAAAATAACTATTCCTATTTAGATGTTTATTATTATTTTTGTGATGCAACTCAATAGTCACTTATATACTGACTTACTCATCGTTTGAAGAAATCGCAACACAGTGAATTTAATGAAAGTTTACAATGACAGTAATTTAATAAAAGTGTCCATAAACTGGTTATTCACTAGTCCTACTGTAGTGAAGGACAACAAGAGCGGGAACAACCGAATGTATTTGAACACAAAATTACGGAATCTATTGGTAAAATCTGAGAACTACACAGTAAATAGTTCATCTACAAAGTGTTAATCAATTATCTCAGACTTGGCTTTTTTTCATTTCCACACCAATCACTCTCTGTTCTCGTCCTCTTCGATCTTCTTAACCTTCTGCTCTCAGGCATTTCATTTTCGATTGATGATACATACTTCTTATATCTGTCGACATCAGTAGTATATATCACACTACAACACCGTTTCTATTTTGACCATTTCTCCTTTATTCAACAATCTGAGTTATTTTCTTAATAATATGTAAATTAGGTATTTCTTTTGATAATTGGGTTTTTTGGTACCGGGAATATTGCTAGTATAAACAGGTAGGTGAATGGAAATATGTAAAAATATTTAAGCTCATTTTGTATTAACTTAGTGCATTTGTAAGGGTTCATAATTTTCTAATGTTAATGTTTAGGATTTTCAATGATCAGTTTGTTCTGACGCATGCACCTCCCCCATTTCACAACCTAGTGACTGTCTTAACTCAATGGATAAGGCGTTGACGTTCGAAGTTAAATGTAATGCGTTTGCGAGTCCTTCCACCTGATAAACCTCAAATAAGGTGAAAGGCGTTCTTGGAATTTCACTGGTAGCCCGTTTCCTATTTTAAATTGATTCATGTTGAGAGCACTTTGTATTATATATTTGGGCTCAAGACAGTTTATCAACAACGAAGGTCAATGACCTAATAATTAAAGCGGTTGGTTTTCTACTAATAAATTAAAAAGTCCATTTTGCGTAATCCGTATGAACAATTGTATAATGTCATTAATTCTCACATTAAAATTATGAATCAAAGTAGAGTACATTAATTTTTGTCTCTGTATCTGTTTTGCATGTATATATATGTTGCATTATCACACTAGAATCATTTTAATTAAACTTTTTATCAGTTCTATTTTATTTATGGATATTTTTTTGCTATTATATTATGATTTTCAAGAATTTAAATGAAACAATGGCAGTTATGTTAAACCGGTAAATGCTTTTAGCAATTTCATTGCTATATAAGTCATTTGAACTTCACTGTCTTGAGTGATAACTTGTGTAAAAATACATGATCAATAGCCAGTGATCTTTTCCCAAGTAGTATCTAAGTGTCAAATAACGAACTTTTCCAGTTTTTTTTTTCGGTAAAATCAATCATGTTTTCCGATCGTTTCAGTTTTGACCCACGTTCAACATTTTGCTTCACGACAATATTAAATCCTGCCCTAATGGCGATTCTTTTGCTAATTAAGGTAACGCTATATGCTCTTTATATATACTCATATTTGTTAATTAATTTGATCATTTTGAGTGTTCTTCCCAACTGAAGATTATTCTAGTCAATTAGAATGGAAGGGAATTGAAAACAAAAACGTATGTGCATAAGCGCTATAAAAAGACTAATTCCGGTAACTAATGTCATATTCAGTGATTGCATTATACGCAAGCAGTATTTTTAATACAACTGGGGTCGAATACCTGAAACATGTGGGAGCCTTATATTGTCAGCATTTGGAAATAGATAAACAAATGAATTTCGATTCTTCCACGACATTGTGTGATTCGCTTTTTCAGTGAGCAAATGAATCATACAAATAAGTACAAACTTAAATGGTAAAAAACGACAAATTAAATCAGATAGGTAGCGACTGCAACATGCTTGCTAAAAGTGAAAAAGGTTTTGTGTTCACATTGACTGGCCACTAAGTAGTGATCAATGTCATGTTTCTCTAAACCTTAATGCTGGTTAAATTCTATCGACCAAGGTTCAGTATGTGTTACTAGTTTAAGTGACTGAATATCATGTGCGCTTCTATTAGGAATGCTGATCCCATTGACCACAACGACAACGAAAGTTTCTTGACTAGACTTTACCAAAAACTATGTTTTGTTATTGGAGGTAGCCAACAAATAATCCTATATGTAGGCATCGTCCTAGCTGGTACCTGTCAACAAGGCATACCTGTAGTTTTAGGAAGGAATTTACTCCCTACTAAATTTTACTTTCCTCACTGTTATCCAGGTCGCTACTGATTTCTTGTTGAACCGAGAAGCCTAGGTCCAAGGTTTCTCATCACTACCAGTCAATTCACACTTACTGCTTCACAGTAATGATCTTGATTTGCTTTGATCATTGTTTTAAAATAAAGCCTCAAAGTCAAACGATATTCGGAAGATGACATTCATTAGGGTAGTGGCTGTGACTAAATTTTGAATGTGTTTATTATTTGTTTCGAACAGAGTTGAAACACTGCCTACTCTCTGTTTGTGAATGCTTCTAAAATGTATTAAGGTTCGATTGTATTTGAATTATTTTTTGTGATTTCTATGCCTAATTGATAACCTACCTGTCTGCAACATCTTAATCTGCATTACAGTAAGTACTGGAAAATTCACTGGTCGGATACCAATGTCATTCGCAGCGATGAACTTAAGAAATCCCTCATTGACTGTTTGTTTGTCACCGTAAAAGATAGACTGGAATAAGTTTTCAGATAGCTTTTGCAGTAATTTCACCTTATAGCTCAGCACTATGTTCAATAGGTGTATATCTTTGATTATTTATAACTGATTGGGTTGTTACGGATATGCATCTGTCATAGATAATACTTACAAAACTACATGTGAGTTCCAGTTTAGTCGCCAAACGATCGTACTATATCTTAGAGGCATACTAAATATGGATTGCTGTTTTGTTTCATTTTGGTATTTAAAATATGTCATAATCAGTATAATAAAATCTAATTTTCCCTCATCTAGGTAGTGTGTCCTATGCTCTTTTTGGGTGTGATCTATGCAGCTATTCAGTTACATAATGGCAATCCAGAAATTTACTCGTCATCTGTCAAAAGTCAAAAATCGAAAAGAGGATATCGCTCTATTTTAGCGCAAACTGGTGTCACTGCAGTACTATCTAACCTAATAGCTATCCACTTTTTTGTTTGGTTGAGAGACGAAGGTAGTTGGTTAGATATAGGGACTAGTATTAGTCACTACGTTATTGCTATGTCTATAAGTCTAGCTGGATTTATTTTCACATTATTGGGAAAGGAAATGTTAAGTTTTTCATTAAGTTCTAATATACATCAAAAGCTGTTGAAAGTATCCAATAAACAAGTATAATAACTACCTTTCTAATTATATGTCGTAATTATTACCTCTTAAAAAGTGTTGAACTTTGGTTACATTTTGTTTGACTTTTTACTGTACATGGAAAACTACTTAAATCTAAAATAAAATAGATATTAATAGACAAATGTTCTAGTCAATTCAATGCCTTTAATTGTTAAGATATAATTTACGTTATACGATATGATCAATGACAGCACAAGTAATAGATACGTTAATGAGCAAGTAAGTTCTAATAGAAATTAACAATGCCACTGAACAAACAGATATGGGGTATATATACTTTTGCATAGAAATCAGAAATATCACTCGATTGCTCAAGTTGAAGTAGCAAGAACATGATTTGTAGGCGAGTGCTAAGGCTATGAACTAGTCACAATTTGATGGTCGTTTAATGATAAACTAAATTTTAATTACTTCTGTTTTCCATTGGTGTATCCTGATTTGACAAGGCCACTGGGAGTGTACAGCCATATCTAAGTGTTATTTTTTAGTACTGGTAGTAACAAAAGCACTGATGATTGACTAGTTTATATGATTAGTGTAGAAACTAAGTGAAGCAGTGGCTTATTGGTTAAGGAACTCGACTTTTAGTGAACAAGTGGAGCAGAAGTCTAAAAACTCTTGATGATAGTTTGAAAATGATAATAATATATCGTTGATTGAAGGACAGATGGTGATAATCTAATTATCGACTTATCTACCATTCATTTAGCCTCAACTGTCGGATAAATTATTATTGTAGTCATACCTCATGATTATTACATCGCGAAACTTAAAGGCAGTGATATCACCAAAATTACAAGCTTTAATTTAAAAAGGCGTGTCGATTAAGATCCTAAGGAATAGCAACACAGAACTGAGGAAAGACTTGAAAAGATTATCAATATTTCTCATCAACACTTAGATGAAGTAATTATTAATTGCTGATTGAATCTAATAATACTGGTGTTCAGTGTATCCTTATGAGCTTCATTTTTACATAATATGTAACATGAAGAGGTTGGTTTAGACAGGATATAACTCAACGTTCAACTGTTACGAAGTTTGATAATAAAGAACTTCCGGCAAAAAATCAAATGGTTTTACTCTTGACGAAATTTTAAAGTTAAAAAAACTAGTCATTTTCATAACGAAATTTGTTTATTTCAAAACGTTATGTCTGGACATGTTTAACGAATGTTCGTGCAACTAAAATAGGAAATATTAAAGATGCATCAGCATTGATCTTAACTGGTTCAGCTAAACCTTTAATTTTTCCCCAACTTACAGCTTCATCTGGTCTAGCACCAGAGTCACTACCATCAAATTCTTGTCCTGTGTTGATAAGTACACAATAATCAGCTCCATTTCGCATCAAATTTGCATTGAATGTGTGATGTTTTATAAGACCACCACCTAGTACTATCATTCCTGTAGTACGAGCATTAATTGCCAGTAAATTGATATTTCGAATATCTTCAACTAGATCTATTTTTAAACCAGGGGATCGATAAGTGTGACTAAACAGAACATCACCCAGAGAACCATCCGTTAAACCGGGACAGAATACCGGAATTTTATTCTGACGTAAAAATAATAGGAGCAATAGAATAAAAGTTAAGAAAGAATGAACATACAATTAATGGAACAACAAAATAATGATAGGCTGAGAGAAAATCAGTGTCCCCAAATGCCCTGGTACGGCCGAGAGTGGGGAGAGTCCGCTCTCCCTCTCCAAATGCTCTCACATGGCCATGCGTATATAGCCTCTGACAGGGAAGTCCTACTCACTGCCTTCACGTGGCGGGGGTGTTGTTTACGAAAATGAGAGGACGAAAAGCGAGTGTTTGGCGCTTTAACCGGATCCCAAACCAATGGTGCACATGGGCTCCAGTATCCTGAAGGAACAAATGGCGTATGAACCAATCGTTGGTCACCGGCTACCATGGGACTGCATCTCCTTACGATGCTCCACTGCCTTGTGGGTCAGACGTTCAGGTTGGAGGCTCGGGGTGTGGTCCCCTAAGAAAACCACCTGCTTCGGTTTGGGCACCCGGGCAGTATCACAGCCCTCACACAAATCAATTGAGATTCGTGTGGCGCATGTGTATTTGTTGCCTCCTTGTACCAATATCTATGTGTTAAAATAAATAATAAATAAAATAAGAAAATCAGTAAGACTGTCTATAGATATGTTTTAAGCAGGACGAACAACATACTTCTTGAGTGATTTCGATCTGATGGTCATCCACAAAGTTTTGCAAGAACTTGAAATAATTGAATTTTATAGTCTGTCTATACACCAATAGAGAGACGGCATCAAGGAATAGTTTTGCCGATAACATCACTCAAAAATGTCAAGCATACAAAACTACTTATAATAACCAAGGAACACATCACTGTCAAGTATCTCAAGAAACGCTATTTCGACAAATTAATAACAGTGATCATATGCAACGCTGCTCCAAATTATTCTGATGCTAACTTGGAACATATCGAAAGAGATTGTTTAACTTGGCGGTTGCCATATTACGATTAATAATGAACATATCCCGATTATATGCGCACATGATGTAGAGTACAAGCAGGTGAAACGCCCAACTATCTAAGAGTTTACACGATCGTTTACAGCAGTTACAAGTCGCAGAACAAATACGAAGTATATTGCAGAATGGAGAAGACACTAAAATTGGATAACTCAGTAATTCTGTAACCTTATTAAAGATGCGGGACAAAAATGATCTGTGAGGTTTATTTTTATTTTATTATTTATTTGAACACATAAATATTGATACAAGAGGGCACCAAATATATATGCACCACACAAAATTTTATTCGTGTGGGGGCTGTCATACTGCCCGGGTGCCCAGATCAAAGCAGGAAATAGCAAAAGAGAAACTATTGATAACAGTTTAGCGGATTTATTTCGAAAGTTGTATGAAATATTTCATCAGCTACAACCCGACTGCAATCTTAATGGGACATTGATATTTCCCCACCACCTCTTACGTAAACTGAAAAGGTGTGACTGTTTGGAAGGATCTGTAGTATGGATCCACATACTTTCAAGGATGGCATTCAAAAGCCATGAGTCGCACTTTAATGGTGAAAATAAAACGGTTCTAATAGAAACGTTTCAGTAGATAGTTACCATATTCATTCGTATAAGTTCAGTTACCTAACACACTAATTTTTACTAGCAGTTTGAGAATGGGAACATAATACTCTTTACAAAATGGCGAATAAAGCCTAAATTTGTTATCTATGAGAATGGGTGGTGTAAAAAGAATTTAATCACTTACTTTATAGCACCAATAGTATATGGAGTCTTTATGGTTGATTTCTTTACCTAGACGATTGATCAACTTAGATGGTGTCCAGTTTACATTCTAAATAACATACGAAAACAGTGTGAATGTAATATGTCCTACTCAATAACAGAACTACTTTTACCTACTGAGTGATGAATATCCTTATAAACAACCTATTCATTATTATATGTAAAATAACTGTAACTAAGATACCCTTTCAAAGCTAAACAGATAAGACGACACTAGTTTTTCTTCCTCTCTATGGGTGACGTTAACACCAAGTAAGTCAGTCAGCTGCAACGTAGGACCAGGCACGTATATGCATCGGTCCAACTTGCCATACCGCATTAGCACAACAAGATGAACACCAAATCCATAGAAGTAGTCACATCAAAGGTAGTAGTATATAAAAGAAAGATTGTGTATAAGGATATGATACAGGATGAAAGAATTAGTTCGTAAAAAGAAAGATATGAAGCGATTTTAATCTCTTAGTTTGAAGGAAGACAAGGAGTGTATACACCGACGCCATTGTGATCGATTCTGAGCCATGTCACCAAGAGTCTCCAACCATTGGTTACGATAGTCAGGCGGATCCCAACCAGGTAGTCTGCACCTACCAACATGGCTCAGACCAGAAGTTAATGACTTCAAGCACTGATGCCACGTTTTGGTTTGGCCGCCCCTAACTTTCTTCCAAATATCCCTAACACCGGTTAGCATTGCGCGTCGTGGTAATCGGTGTTCAGGCATACGTAGCACGTGACTCAACCATCTCAGTCGATGAAGATTCATAACCTCATCAACTGATTTACCATCATTCCCAAATAACCTCACTATTACTTACCCGATGATCCCAGCAGATACCAGCAATATTTCTAAGGCGTCTGTGGTCAAATACTAGTAACTTACGAGGATGTTAGGTAATGAAATCGGGCAAAGCTTGCGTAAGGACCGAGAAGCCTGGTGGTCGGAGTGTGCCAGTGAGTTGGAAGCAGCAGCTGCATCTGGTAATTACCGGAAGCTCTTCCAACTCATCCGAACCACTGGCAGCAAGAAGTTTGGTGTGAGCGAAACAATCTGCGAGGATGACGGAACGCCAATCACTAACATCCATCGACGTCTTGGACGATGGGCAGAATTCTTTGAAGGGCAGTTCAACTGGCCTGCTGCTCCGGCAACATCGGTCAGACTGTCCTGCCCCCCCATGGCCGGTGACGACTGATCCACCAAATGAGGCGGAAGTCCACAAGGAACTCCAACTCTTGAAACGTTACAAATCACCGGGCCCAGATGACTTACCTCCGGCTCTTTTTAAAGATGGTGGTGACTTTTTGACTAAGGGACTGACGACGTTGTTTACAAAGATCTGGGAACTAGAGAGTGTACCAACGTCATGGAATGAGTCGATAGTTGTCCCTATCTTTAAAAAGGGTTCACGTTGTTCCTGTAACAACTATCGGGGGATAAGTCTACTTCCGATTGCGTCCAAGCTATTGGCTTCCGTCATACTTCGTAGGTTGTTCAGGACCCGAGAAGGATTGACTCGCGAGGAGCAGGCTGGGTTTCGTTCTGGTCGAGGATGTATTGATCATATCTTCACCCTCCGCCAAGTGTTAGAACACCGCCATACTTATCAAAGGCCAACAATCGTAGTGTTTCTTGATATCAGGGCTGCCTTCGATTCGTTGGACAGAACTGTTCTCTGGGATTGTCTCTTGAAGAAGGGTGTGCCTGAGAAGTTTATTAACATCCTAAAAGCGCTATACACAAGCACCTCAGGCAGAGTGAGGGCATACAATTACCTTTCTCCACTCTTCCATTCGAGCAGTGGGGTTAGGCAGGGTTGCCCAATCTCACCATTCCTCTTCAACTTTGCCATCGATGACATTCTGGAAACAGCTCTGACGGATGTAAGTAATGGTGGTGTGAATCTGTTGCCTGGAGAAAGACTTCTCGACCTTGAGTATGCGGATGATATTGTCTTACTGTGCGAGAATGCCCCAAGCCATGCAATCCGCACTTAATCAGTTGGCAATCAGTGTCCGTAGGTATGGTATGTGCTTTGCACCTTCGAAGTGCAAACTACTTCTACAAGACTGACAGGATTCTAATCCTGTACTCACTCTGGATGGTCAGCAGATAGAAGTAGTCGAGAAGTTCGTGTATCTAGGTAGCTGCATAAGTGCTGGTGGTGGTGTGAGTGATGAGATCAATGCACGTATAGTGAAAGCCAGAGCGGCTTATGCCAATCTGGGCCATCTTTGGCGCCTTCGTGATGTTAGTCTGGCTGTAAAAGGTCGGATCTACAACGCGACGGTGAGAGCAGTTTTGCTCTATGTTTGTGAAACCTGGCCTCTCCGAGTTGAGGATGTTAGACGACTCTCTGTGTTCGATCATCGTTGTATCCGAAGGATTGCTGGCATCCAGTGGCAACACCATGTCAGTAATGCAGAGGTTCGGCATCGAGTGTTCCGTCACAGAGACGATAATGAAATTGGTGTCACCATCTTGAAACACCGACTTCGGTGGCTTGGATATGTTCTACGAATGTCGTCCCAGAGAATTCCACGTCGTGCATTATTTGCCGACGCTGGGACTGGTTGGAAAAAGCGGAGAGGTGGTCAGTATATGACATGGTGTCGTGGTATGGAAGAAAGCTGCGAAGGGCTAGCTTCTGTTGGTCCTTCACGACTCCCTGGTTGGGATCCGAGAGACGGTGTAACGCAGTGGCTAGAGACGTTATCAGATATGGCTAAGAATAGAAGCCAGTGGCGATCGTGCTGTAACCTCTAATATCTTCTACTCTTAAAGGCCATGTTTCACAGCCGTATAGTAGAACGGAACAAACTGCCGCGCAGTATACTCGTCCCTTAATTGATAGACGGATATCTCGCCTTCGCCATAGGTGACGTAAGTTGGCAAAAGCCAAACAAGCTTTCCGAATCCGTGCTGAGATTTCGTCAGACACCAACCCAGTAGGGCTGATCAGACTTCCAATATAAGTGAAGTTGTCAACGTGCCCGACTACTTCACTCCCTATCCTTAGTTCAGGTGTTGACGCAGACCAGTCCTGCAGCAACAACTTGCATTTAGAGGGAGAGAAGCGCGTTCCAAACATTCTGGCATTGTTGCTCAGTGCTACCAAAAGACTCTGCATTTCATCAGCGTCTTCACCAAACAGGACCATGTCATCTGCGTATTCTAAGTCGATAAGTGGACCTCCTGGTAGGAGATCAATGCCCGAGAATTCAGTCGATGAGAGAGTTATTTCCATCAGGAGGTCTATGATAAAGTTAAACAAAAATTGAGTAAGTGGACAGCCTTGACGGGTTCTAGAACCTGACGGACGGTGAATATGTGGTCTATGCAGCCACGACCAGGTCTGAAGCCAGCCTGATTCTCTCGTGTTTGCAGTTCACAAGTCTTAGTTAGGCGTCCGATAATTATCGAAGCTAGTATTTTAGATACTATATTAGTCAAACTAATCCCTCTATGGTTGTCACAAGATGATTTTAACCCTTTCTTATATATTGGGACGATAAGTGGTTGTGACCAGTCAGATGGGAATACGTCCAACTCCCAGATTTTAGCTTAAATATTAGTCAACCTTGTCGCTAAAATTGGACCACCATCCTTAAAGACCTCTGGAGCCAATCCATCTGGAACCAGCTGCCCTTCCTCCTTTTAGATTAACTATAGCCTTTTGAACTTCAGCTAGAGTTGGAAGACCTACTTCAATGTTCCGTTCACAATGTTTGGGAATGGTGGGTAGTTGTAGAGTAGCTGAAGGCCAGCTGAACTGCTTCTTAAAGTGTTCCCTCCATCGTTCTCACCACTGCTCACGATCATTCCTTAGACTTTTAGTTAACCTAGATCTGATTTGCTTTCGCTCGTCATCGTGTTCAGACCCTGATGGGATGAGTTTACGAGAATCCATCAGTGTAATAGACGTAGAAGAAATCCATTGTTTCTTAGTAACCCTTTGGTTTAAGTCACTAATAGATGTCAGTGCTGTTTCCACAGCTGTTCGTATATCATTCCAAGCAACACCTGGATCAGCCTCGTTTTCAGAACTAACTAAGTGTGACCTCAGTTGCTCTTGGAACCTACTTTTGGTTTTCTCGTTACTCAATTCGGTTCTAATGAGTCTTTTTAATGTGGCTTTTTTGCCTCCAGTGAAGCGAAAGCAGACGCGTGCTCGTATTAGGGCATGGTCGGAGTTCAAGCAGGTACTCCAGAATGAGCGACAATCTTCTATCGACCCTCTCCAACGATGACTGATGGCAATATGGTCTATTTGAGTCCATCGTTGATTTGTTGCAAGGGGTCTCCATGTTAGACGGTGTCTCTCCTTATGCTTAAAATTTGTGTTTGCTAAAAATAAACGATTGTCTGAGCACAGTTGCAGCAAATGATCACCATTATCTGTTCGCTGCGCCGGAATACTAAAATACCCACTTAAATATCTTTCTGTTTCGTTTAAGCTACCTACCTGGGCATTAAAGTCACCTGCTATGAGTACTATGTCTGAACGTTTAGCTTTCTGAAGAAGTTCAGACAGCTCTCTGTAAAATTCATCTTTCACTTCATCCGAACTGCAGTCAGTGGGAGCGTAGGCAGAAACGACGAAAAGGCAACGACGTGTGTCCCTATCCTTTCGAGTTCTTACGGAGCCGTTTAGCCGAACAGCGCATAGACGACTATTAACGGGATCCACTCTAATAGCGCTTGCTCCGCCCTCATGCTTAGTGCTATGCCTACACCTGCAAGTCCACGAGAACTAGCCATCGGGTCGCCAGATACACGGAGGGTGTATCTCGTTGGCTCTCCGTTTTGCCGAGGTGAGGTCAAGTGAATGACCACACTAGGATCCTGTATGCGTGTTTCGGAGACACAGCATACATCAATCGTACGAGATTCTAAGGTTTTAGCCAAGGAAGCCTGCTGACCGATTTGATATAGTGTGCGTACGTTGAAGGCTCCAATGTGTAGTTAGGAGCGAGGTTTCAGTAGACCTGGGACAGTGTTTTGAGCACTAGAATCGTTGGCTGTGGTGACACTTGAGGAGGAAGCTAAAAGAGGAAGTTTAGTGTGGAAAGTCGATGTAGGAGGAATAATAGGAATTGAAGAGGGAGGTTGATTATGAACACAGTGGTCTTCAATGCTGTTAGAGGTATGAGGGCGGTTATCACTTCCCGGTTGCCCACACCGTGAAATGGTTCTCCTGGAGGTAGCTGAAAATGAGATTGGGTTAGAGGTGATCACAGTGACCTGAGAGCGTGACCGCAGTGCCCAAAGGACAACTGCTTGAGGTCGGTCACACACGACCTTTTTATGAGTAGTTTTTGTGTTAGTTCCGTACTTGTTGAGACCTTACCGCCGGAGACGGATATCCGTGGGATAAGGCGAGGTGTGCATTTTTAGGGTCTACCTTTTCTAACCCCACCCATCCTTGTGGGAAGACAGCATCGCTGTCATGCTGATTGTCTGAAGGAAACACCTTACTGCTGTCACACCTCTATACAGTCAGCAGTGGCGCATATATATTTGGTGCCCCCCTGTACCAATATTTATGTGTTCAAATAAATAAATAAATAAATAAACAGTCAGCAGTACGACTTCGCCTTAGGACCTTGGGTTTGTTGCTTTTAGTCTTACCGCTCTTCAACCGACCTGTCTGGCATGGTATGACCTTGAGGAACGGTTGTTCCAGCCAGTGTAGCTTAGTTGCTTCATCACGATAGGCATTTCCGACCACCACATCAAGGTAGCAACAACGGTCGGGAACACCAAGTAAACTAACCTCGTGTTGCATGAAAAAAAACATTTGTTCTATTTCAAGGATATTAAATATAACCGCCATGAGCTGAGAATATGAGAATGTATTCGGTTGTATGGATTAGATTAGATTAGATAGGGCTTCTCGTAAAATTTTCGGTAACATGTATTCACTCAAGTTATTAGTGAACATTTGTAGTATCTTAATAAATGTTGGTTAAATAGTTCTATTATAAAATACAGGAAGTAAGCACAACTGCCATTATTACTTTAATTGCGTTGAATAGGATAGTGGGATATATTGTTTCCAACCATCTGACTAATAAGCAAGGCATAGATATTATTGATGGTATGGGGTTCTGTGGCCACGATTGTTTAATTGCGAAGCTTACGTTGCTGTGTGTTGGACAATCTCATAAGTCTGACTCAAATATAGAATAATGAATATGAAGACTGAAAAGATACTCATGATTCAGGAATATTTTATAAAAACCAACAGTTTACATTAGTTTGAAATTGGTTCTGTTTGTAAACCTTATCAGAACGTGGAAACTGTCTCTTTCTAGGAACAAGAAATAAATTTAGAAAAAATTAGGAACAGACTAACTGATAAGAAAATCGAATAGACATTTTGAAGTTAGTATCCTTAAATCCACAAGCTAAATTGCATAAATCTATCAATGACAAAATTACACACCACGCTAGTTACACAATATTAACACTCATAATAACTGAATTTCAGAATAAACATACCTGAGAATTTTGCTCTTCTAACACTTCATCTAGAATGGGTAGAAGCCATTGTTCAAATTTAACATAATTATTATTTGGTACAAGTAGATTGCCAATACGATTTACACCGATTTCTCTTAATTCATGACCACGCCATCTTTCAAAATCTCCTACATATGAAGGAGCCAAACATTTGATAAAGTCTTCTTCCACACCACCAGCAGAAGTTACTATTACATCAACCTGTTGATAAAAAAACGTTAGTTTGAAAAATCTTGACACAAAACCAACCAATATGATGAATAATACTAAAATAAGTCCGGTCGAGTCATTTAATTTGGGCCAATCTCATTGCAGCTCTACTAAGGGCTTACGGAAAAATACCTAAAATTTTTAGTGTTTGCAGCATGACGCTCAATACCTGATTTTTCTCTGAGTAAACTAAGACTACACGTAATTATTTTTTACGGGCATCTGGAATATGGGCAAATAATAACTAAAGCACAATGCGAGTCTAACAATCGGTCACAATAATTGACATGAACACGTTGCTACGATTCACACGATACAGGTCAAAAATTCTATGTGGTTTTAGCTGTTCATTCTAACAACGAAAAATATTATACCCAATGCTACCAGTTTCAACAATAAAGCAATGAGATTTTTCCAATCTAGTAATTAACTTATAGGTCAGACTTGAAGTATAGTTTCAGGCAGTACTAAGTGATACTGAATCCATTTTCTAAATAAAATCACTTGATTTCTGCTCCAAACCATTAGACACCCCAGTGATGAAAGAATAGAAGATTTCACAAGACTCGTGTATACCTCCGACCTTTCCACGTTTATAACGGTCGGCAAGACGAAAATGACATGAACTTAGTAAGTGAATTTCATAATATGCAAAAACAAGATCTAATACCCAACAACAAATTCAAAATAGATTTTGAATTATTCATTCAAATGACGTAATGTGATAATAGTTTGTAAGCACTAGCTAAAATTTAACAAACAAAATGGAAAAGCATTTTACATACATGCAAATTAATTCATGTATGAATGATCTTAAGTTAAATAAAAATAATAAACTGTTTTGACGATTTGGTAAAATTCAATTTACTTCACTAATCAATCTTAACTCATGTTCCCAAAAAACTCATTTTTGTTTGGCAAATGGAAGCGAGGTTTCAACTTGCAACTAGAAGTCTACCAAATGGGATCGGATGGTACTACTTTAGTAAATAGTTGATTAACGTTACAGCGTGTGATATTATCAGCCTTGGCTCAAAGAAATCATAAACAGATAAATATTTCAAGTTGTCAGACTATCAGTAAACCACTTCGATAAATCGTGAAAGTATAGCCAGGTGTATAGCAGACACATTAGTATAGCATGGACCTTCATAATTTAATCAATTCGACAATTGTTTACTACATTAAAACCATGTCCTGATATTTGATAAACTTCACGAAAAGGTTTAGAATGACAATTACACCCCATAAAATATTAATTAAAACAAAAAGACGCATACTAATAATGACATATTCAATCCAAATAAAGTAAAACATATCCTTACTTTGGTCAGAAATAAAATGTAAAAGACAAAATGAGACCTTGGTAGGATTGGTTAAATCTTACCATGTTATGTTCGGCCAGAAAACGTATAACTTCTCGAACCCCAGAGCTCACCATATTTGATGTATAAGCCAAAAATATAGTACATTCTGATAAAGGTCTATTTAAAGGATGAAATTCTTGTAGCACTTGGGCTAGTTCAATTTCTTCACGTGAAGTAGGTTTTAAATTCCGTTTATTAATCTGTTGAAAATGATTGGGAAGTAACTTTTTCATAATAAATGGGTATATTTAGGAAAACATTTGAAAAAAGTTTGGATTAGTAGACAAATCGAAAGATTAGGTGAATGAAAAGGAAAGGTATGTATAATTTAGAAAAACTAAGTGTTAAAGATCAACTAACAATAAATAAGCACAAAGAGATCTGTGATAATTAAATATGAATATTTGTTTCAATAGAAAATTTATTATTTGTCAAAAGACAATAAACACCATTACATATAAGTATTTTTATGAATTTTCAATATCACAAAATATTGTACTTAATATGCAATGAAACTAACAATAAAAACTTCGAAATATCTACCATTTCATTCAGAATATGTTCAGCCTTTGCAAAATGAGTTGCCTGGAATCCAATACATTCAAAAGATGAGAACAAAGCATCGTAATTTAGACCAGCGTTAAAATCATATCCCTTCACTTGAAGATGAACACCCTCTGGCAAACTTGTACATGGTTTAAGAACAGCGTCTACGAAACCAGGAGGTCGATCATCATGGCAGGAAATTTGAGAGTGATTCTTTTTCTAAAACAAGGTGGTGGTAAAAAGTAAATGAATAAGCAACAAATCTTAAAACCAAAATTTATAGAACGTTAAACCAAATCTGTTTATAATGAGATTTTCAAGATGTCGTTTTATCAGACCTAAATAGCCAAATCGTGAAACTTTCGTCGACTGTAGTTAAAGTCAGCTATGAGCACATAAGAAAAAAACTCTTAGTTGACATACATATATTTCTAAAGTAGATTAAAGCACACATGAAGTGTAAATTTGGGGTATACTGAAGTACTACCCGAACCAGTTAAGGTCACAGAGACGATAATGCAATTGATGTCACCATCTTGAAACACCGACTTCGGTGGCTTGGACATGTTCTACGAATGTCGTCCCAGAGAATTCCACGTCGCGCATTATTTGCCGACGCTGGGATTTGTTGGAAAAGGCGGGGAGGTGGTCATTGTATGACATGGTGTCGTGGTATGAAAGAAAGCTGCAAAGGACTGGCTTCTGTTGGTCCTTCACGACTCCCTGGCTGGGGTCCTAGAGATGGTGCAACACAGTGGCTAGAGACGTTATCAGATATGGCTTAGAATAGAAGCCAGTGGCGATCCTGCTGTAACTTTTTTTGCTTTCCTCATAAAAAGTGGTTGCTTCTTTCTTAACTGAAAGACTTTCCGTTTCCCCCATTATTATTATTATTACACTACCTTACACTAATCTGGTCGTTATTGTTCTTTTTTTTTCTTTCACGCTCCTTACCTTTTTTCTCTTCCCATTCTCATTGTTTTGTGTGGCGCATATATATTTGGTGCCCTCTTGTACCAATATTTATGTGCTCAAATAAATAAACATAATACTTATTCTACATAACGAAGCTCAAGAAATGCACCAGTAAGCGTCGGACGCATAAGTCTTCTGTTATTGACAGCCACTTCGGGACTCAAAAAGTCACTTTGTTTATGGGGTTTTGCATAAAGACTAAGCGGCATCAATTGATATTAAATCACAGTACCATAAATGTAGTTATATGAAAGATCATTTTACATCTCGAACAATTTTCATAAACATCGGATTTTATTTATTTATTTGAACACATAAATATTGGTACAAGAGGGGCACCAAATATATATGCGCCACACATAAACATCGGAGCATATTGACGATGACTGTACTTTTCATCTGAATGAGGGTAGTTTACCAACCGATCCTGTAATGGATTCTATGTATGGGATTGCTCCTGATCAATCAAAAATCTTCACTGAATGCTCATATATGCCCTAGCACGGCCGAAGGTGGAGAGATACGGCTCTTTCTCTCGAAATGCTATGACATGGCCTCGTGGTGAAGATGCTGTTTATGAAATTGAGAGGACGAAAAGCGAATGTCCGGGGCTCCGCGTCTACTAACCCGGTGAGTTGGAAAACCCTGATTCCAAACCAATGGTGTATATGGACTCCAGGTTCCTGAGGGAACAAATGGAGTAGGAACCTATTTTGAATACCGGCTACCATGAAACTGCATCACCTAATATTGGATTAGACCTTTAGGTCAGCGGTTCTGGGTGTAGCTCCTAAGAAAACCACCTGATTCGGTTTGGGCACGCGGGTAGTATCCTAACCCACACGCAAATCAAATGACGATTACTACTGGAAATATTATTCTTGCTTCAACTAGCATTCAGACAAATCACAGTGACAATCATTTTTATTTTTTCGCATAATAGGAACAATAACGGGGAGGATTTGCATGCATGTGGCATACAATTCTCTTTTAACCAAGCCAACAGCAATAGCGTCGTGAGCTGTCCTATCTCTCTTGGAGGATCAGGCAACCCGAAAGTCACAAGAACATTAGCAAGGCATAACGACAGGCTAAGCACCCAATTGATTAGACAGATTTATATTCAAACTAACTTGTGGAATAATAATAGCTTGTATACATCTATATGGCAAGCATATACTTGTAATTCAAGTTTTTTAAGGAGTTTTTTTGAAAAAAAGGCCATTACAATACCCGAATACCAAACATGACACAGAGGTTACTCCTAGATGAAACTAAGTCTGCTTTGAGGTCATCATCTCGATTACTCGACCACAAAATCTCTAAAGAAAGAGTCGGAATATATGAGGTCGCTCCTCTGACAGAGCACAGACGGAATGTATATCAGATTTATTCTGTTAATTAGCAATGGTAATTGGTAGATAATAAGATAAAAGAAAAATTTCACAAACCATTTCGTGAATCATTTATACATTTTAATTTGACCTCAAAGAAAAGTGAGGGCGAATTTTGGTAGAATTATATTGTACGGACAAACGTATAGCAATTAAGATAGCAGAAAGATCAACTGAAGAGGCATATAAGAGGGAACGCTGGAATTCAAGATCCACAAGAAGATAAAGAGTGCATGCATCTGGACCATAGTAAACAATTTCCAGTCACGTCAAACTAGGTTCCAAACCACTGATCGCTGCTATCGTGTGGATCCCGAAGTGGTAGTTTTGATCTATTGACATGTTTACGACGCACAATTTATGACTTTATAAACTGATAACTTGTCTTGATTGGGTCCAAAATAACTCTTCTAATCTACTTACACACTAGAAAGTATGACGCGTTGAGACTAGGAATAAGTATTATATGTACTAATCACCTCCGTTGATGAAGATTTACAGCCTCAACAATCAATTTTTTACGTTTCCCTTGTAATATATGCCTTACCTTGACTTGCTTACTCGGTTGCTTCATGATAAGCAAGCAAAGTTCCGAAGACGGTTGTGATCGAAAACCCGTAGCCGACCAATGTCTTCTATTTTTGCTTCCCAGTCATAAAGAAGTACAGAAAGAATTTCTGAGCAATATACGCGTACTTTGGCTGTCAGACAGATATCTAACCTACACCACAAGTGACGCAAGTCGGTGAGCGACAAACGAGCTTTCTGAATCCGTGATAAGATTTCGTCAGATAAAAACCATACAGGGTTGATGAGACTTCGCAGATAAATGAAGTGGCCAAAACGCTCAAGCATATAGCTCCTATCTAATACCACTTCTCAACATCCTTGTATCGTTGATCGAAGTCAGAAAACCGCAATTTTTAGCGTATTCACCAAATAAGATTACACCACCGCCATAATCGACAAGTCAATAACTTAGTAGTAGATCCCTGAAATTTAAAGACTGTTAAAACTTGGAGGACATTTATAACCAAGTTAAATGAAAACAGAGGAAGTGGAGAACCCTGAAGTACGTCACTTGATCATGACAGTTTGTATTAGCTCTGACTCGATGAGTGGTGTCCGAACAGACAGTCTTTACACTGTTCATGGTGTCATTTAGTAACAAAATTTGCCGCAAAACCTATTAGTTAACAGGGTCGAATTCTAACTTTAAGTGAGTACGCCCAACTCCTAAAACCTAACGAAGAGTGAATATCTGGTCTACAGACCAACGTCCAGGCTCGAAACCAGCCTGGTTTTGCCCCGCTTTGATTTTTGTGAGCCCTAGTTAAGCTAAGGGTTTTAGTTATACCATTAGCCAAACCGACACATTTGTGGTTATCGCATGACGGTTCGTTTTTCCTTGTAAGCTAGGAAGATCGGTGACCGAGGCCAGTTAAATTGCCTTATATCCATTACCCAAACTCTAAATGGCGTCAGTTAAGAACCCAGAAATGAATCATCTTTAAAGATTATTAGTGTTAACCTATCAGTGTCCGTCACCTTCCCTTTGTTTATATTAGCGATATCATCAACAATCGGAGCACTTACGTTAATTTCCCAACTAGGACGATAACGGGTAACTCAGGAAAATTTGGGCTATTCCTTAGTGTTCTATACATTGAACTAACCTTCTAGATGAGGAAAATAACGATTCTGTCACCTTCCGAGATAGCTTTACTAACAACTGCTTTTTCCTTGATGAGATTGAATGCTTGTTATTCAGCATGCTTGATGTTCTGCAGGGCTTAGTAGTGTGTGTCAGGGAACTAAGACGTAAGACGAATTTAACAAATGCTTCTTGTAGCCATTAGGAAACCCATTTCATATGGTTTTAGAGTATCCTTGAGTTACAGCTGTTCTCAGTTGGCGATTAAGATACTAATACTAAGTCTTAAAATCTAATTAAAACCCAAACTATCACTCAAAAATTTCAGCCAAAGCCTAAATAATCATTTTCTCTATTGACCCTTCTTCGGATACTGTAGAAAACAATTAGATAAGTAGGCGTTAATTAATCATGTCAAAACTGTCTATTCCTCAGACGTAATATATATTACGTCTGAGTAATATTACGCCTTATTAATCGATCCTCATCTAAATGAACATTCTTTTCAGCAGATAAGTAGTTCAAGTTCGCATGTAAATCATATTTTTGCCGAACTTAATATAATACTTGAATTTGAGAATCGTACTATGGTCAGACGCTTAACTAAATAAAAGTATGCTTTTATTTAGTATGTATCTAGCATCACGTCAGTATAACCTGTATAGTAAATGATTTCGTCAAATGAATAATGTGGATTTCCGGTAATATCAGTTACTCGGGATGCAGTATGAGACATACTTCCATCCTCAAGGTAGCTGCAACATCTGGTATCCGTGGTCCGGTAACGATTTATTAACATCATCCGCGTTGAACGCTGCTGAGCACTTGAAGGCCGAACTGTCGTAAGACGATTGGTGCATCACCTCGATAGTTTATTTGCTTTTCTAGAAGCGGCTGGATCAAGACAAATTGAAATTTGTTTGAGTTCAGCCGCATTATGTTTGAGTAACTAAAATGATGGCATCTCAGTAATGCGAAATCTCGAGCGCCACATAAAAGAATAGTGATCTTTTTCCTCAAGTCAAGTTTAAGATATTAATTGTTTAGTAAGCATCTAGACCACTGTTTCTCACTATAACTAAAGTTACTTCATTTGGAGTATCGTCTTCTCTTCCGAGAGTAATTCAGCACCCGTACTTTTTTGAGTAAATCGGATTTTTTTGCCTGTTGCACTTATGAACTTAACAGTTTGCGGTTTCATTTTTCTTCTGGTTATTAGATTCAGATTTGTATAGTAAAGATAGAAGGCTTATGGCCTATGTTATTCCTTTTCTAGTATTACATTGTTATGTGAACTCCTAGGTGAGATCCATCTTTATGGTCTTATTTAAATCTAGAGCTGGGCTCATAATAACGCTCTTAATTTCCTCGAAAGCAGAGTTCTGTTCATCTGCTGCTGCCTGTTTGTCAAAGGACAATTTCCTAGCTATGTTAAGCAGCTCGCTAGCCTCTAGAATTAGCAGAAACTTAGTAGAACAACATTCTTGCAGCACCGTTTATATGCAGCCGATGTGAGTCCGGTGCACACATTTTGATGCCATTGCATCGCCTTATAGAACGGGAAATAGCATGCTGGCCTACCACAATGACGTTTCAATTGCGCCATAGACTTGTTTTATGTTTACACATAAATATAAGAAGCAATAAAAAATCGGACTTCAGTAGTTATAGAAAGACCTTAACACCTATGGATACAAATAATGCTCGAAGATATATTCAACGATGAAGAATAAGTACCAGTGCCTTTAGTTTTTATGCATCTGTACTCGTAAAGTACAGATGATAAGCTTCACTAGGGAAGAAGCCATATTCTTGGGAATTAATTCAACTGAAATTTTTCAATTAAAGCAAAAACAGTAGTCTTGATTCTATGGATTGTGCCATGAAGTATTCACTAAGCTGGTGCTAGAGGGTTTCAAATGGTTTAATGAAAAGGATGCATGTAGTTGTATCAGTAATGCTGTTGAGATGCTAACAGCTTGCTATCCGATACTATTTCAATGGTAAGTAATTCTAAAAGGTTTGTTAACAAGCGTGTTGCCGCAAATAAACCCATAAAACAACTGGTTCTGTAAGTCGTCGACGCTTGATTCTAACCTTAGTAGCTCACTACACACACCTAGCTGGAGTGGCTCAGTCACGCATCCACATCGGATCATGGGTAAGTAATCTATGTTACAGATCCCTTGCTACAACTAGCCAGCTTAGTTCAAACGTTTCAATATATATCGATAGCCTTCTAAATATATCTTCGAATTCCTTTTTTTCTGACTTCTGATTTGACTGTGTTGAAATACTTCAATTGTAAAGGTGTTACGTGTAAAGGCGTTGCCAAACTATGAATACCTGTTGTGTCTTTAAGCGTATTCGAGATATATTAACTGGTTCTCGCTCCCTCGATACAAAAATCGATGTAAAATCATCCCCTGTAAGCTTAGGGTTGATTGGCTTGTATGAACCAGTGGAGAAGAAACAGGCTTCGGAGATGTTTGTTAAATTCAAAAGCTCAAGAATGTATGAGTCTTGACACGAAAACATCAAGTGTATTGCAAATGGTGCTTGGAAGAAATGTCATTAGATGGATTTCAATCGTTTGTACTAATCATGAGCAAATCAAGATCACCGCCTTACCATTGAAATTTATGAGAAATTCCTGCAAAATTTTGGACTTGTGAACATCTGCGCTTCTGTACTATAAAGGTTATGAAGTAAATATCAGTCAAGGAAACAAAAATGGTGTCCAGTTTTATGTGTCTGTTCGTTGCATTATTTAACTAACCGTTTTTTATCTTTATAGAAGACTCTCTGCAATTTCGTGAAGTTGTTTCCGTTTACTAACTTAGTGAAAACAAGCATAATGTTCTTACAAAAATATAACGTATCCAGAGTCTACACAATCAATAGTAAGTTCATATTCGTATCGTTGTAAATAATTAATAATACGGAGCAATACATCTCACGTGTATTTGAACACCCCTTCGCGTGCTCAGTTTTGCCAATTCACTAGTTGTTTTTCTCCCATGACCTGGCCTCACATGACAGTGGCGCTTGGCCCTTTTTAATCCTGATGACGAGGACCCAGCAGCCTGCGGAGTTTCTGGGGAGCACGGTTGCATTTATGGATGCTGTGCTAAGAGACACAAATTTGTTGAGAGTCCAACACCATCGATATTATGACGGTCCTAAGTTTCAGCTTATTTTCACTAGTGTCGATGCATGTTCCATCGATACTAATGTTGTCGAAACCCTCTTCTCTACTTCACTGCGCGTCTCTATTCATCCGTTCCAGGACTGCCTTTTTTAGGGTTTCTGACATTTTTTCGCAGACATTTAGATAGAATGATGGTGCTACTCAGTGAATCCTGAGCAATCGTGTTGCATGTGCCACATACCCACCTACGATATGATCTACGAATAAATTTAAACTTTAGGTCTAAATACGGCAATTACCAATCTCAACTTTAGCCGTGTAGTCACACATGCCGAAGGTCTAATACGTGGAGATAACTCTTCATTTCCTCGTCACTATAACCATCATAGACTTCTTTTGAAAAAGCATTTGTTGGACAAGGAACTACAGTTTTATCAGGAAAACTGAGCTTGGACCTACTACTAACAACAACTTTGGAATCACAATCGGTTGGACGTGTCAGCTGCACCGATCAATCTACAACAGATGAACTGGGAAATCCACCCTCAACTTGATATGGACGCTCAATAGGATTTCTTTCTCCACAGGATCCTACGTGCTACAGTACGGTTAGTCCAGAGATGGGCAACTGGAAGTTGCAACGAACCTACAGTCATTAAGATTCGAACTTGTAATAATCCCATACCACTACTGCATTATTTATTTGCTCATTGTAATATAGACACTTGATTCATCATGTAATTTTCTGTGTGTCCGACTAAGCACATTTAAATTCTTAATCTACTCTACCATCGATTGTAATTCACAGACAATCAATAATTTATCCAGACGTGATTAACACTTATATATATATATATATATATATATATATATATATATATATGTAAACGGATTTTTTACACTCACTCACTAACACACACATATACACACTTGTGGTTTCCCTGCGTGCTTGCTTGCTGTATGCTTGCAGATTTTATTAATTTTTAACAATAAACTATCTCTATAACTGATGTTTGGGCTTTTGAACAATCTCCAGTAAATCGATAATTCTACTAGGAGATTTAGCCTGCGTTAAATACTCAGTTAACGAGATACCATATATTGAAGTCAGATCTAAAGAAAATTTCCTCTACAGACTTGGTGAGCCTCAACAAACTCTTCGATTGCCAAGACGCAAAGGACACTAGTGAGCGGAATGTAAACGAACTGGTAACGACAACACAAATAGTTAGTGCAAACGAGCAAGGAACCAATGCACAAATTCAATAACAGAAGACAGGCTTAAGTGTCAGATAAAGTTAGCTGGTAAATTCGTGCCCAATCCAGATAGCTTACTTCATCATGCAGCCTCTCTTTTACAAGCCAACTAGTAGTTTCCCAGTTGTTAAGTCATAATGGCCCAACCATTATCGACGGTGACACAGAACATTATTCTGAAACATTTCAACCGTTCCACACCAACTACATCGATAAAAGCTCCACCTGCAGGTTAACAGGACACTCAGAAAAGAACCTGAGCTCAGACTTCGTGTATCAGAAACTGCAACATCCAAACAAGGACACAGCCCTGGCCCGAATATGGTCCATTCTGCTATACTGATGGAAGCAGCTTCAATCTCGGCAACACCGCGTTATGTTCTAAAATTCTCTAATCCGAGACACATTACCAGAATATTGGAAGCTGGTTCCGTTACATCAACTTATGAAAGCGCTTCACGCAGCGAACTCTCGAATTACTCGAACTACCTTTAAATATTTTAGAATCCCCGATAAGCGACGACATACACGACTATTTATTATCCATAAACTTATATTCACTACAACAGCACGGTTTCAAAGAAGGTCAATCTTGTATAACCAACCTTCTGACCTCTGTGGACAAATGGACAGTTATCGTTGATCTCAAAGGGGAGGTTGATATTATATACCTTGATTTGTCATAAGCTTTCGATATAGTCAGTCGTACGTATCTTATCAGTAAGCTCAAATAATTATGTATTAAATCACCTTTAATTTAATTAGCATACTTTATACTTAAAAAATCCAAATTTTGAGGTCAGAGTTAACCTCACTTTCTCTCGGGCCATGGAATGCCCTGGTCAGGTCCCCCAGGGTTCAGTACTAAAACCTACTCTTTTCTAATCTTGCATAAAGGATCTTCCACAGGACATGTCGTCAGATTCATTATTTTCTTCTGACTGTGAAATTCTGGAAAGGAGTTTGCAAGCAAGGTGATAAGCTGGCACTCTTGAAGGATCTGACTCGACTTCAAAACAAAACGAACAACAACGTGCTTACATTTAACACTTCAACGTGTGGAGAAGTCCGTCTCAAACATGTCGCAGATTACACATCCAACTTAGATGACTCCCCACCAGAGGTATCTCATGTTGAAAATGGTCTAAAATTGTTGGTACTATATGGCCTGAAGTTTTAAGCTAACTACGACAAAAATGATTTCCCAAGCATACATAACGTGGGGACGCATTTTAACCATTTTGAATGAAGAAATTTTTACCTAATATTCGGCTGTTTTGTCCGACTTTATTTAGAGTATGGAAACAAAGTGTTTATTTTCTCACTTGAAAGGGAT